AACCACCAGATGTAGCCTACAATGGGCCAGGTAACCACCACATGTAGTCTACAATGGGCCAAGTAACCACCAGATGTAGTCTACAATGGGCCAAGTAACCACCAGATGTAGTCTACAATGGGCCAAGTAACCACCACATGTAGTCTACAATGGGCCAAGTAACCACCAGATGTAGTATACAATAGGCCAAGTAATCACCAGATGTAGTCTACAATGGGCCAAGTAATCACCAGATGTAGTCTACAATGGGCCAAGTAACCACCAGATGTACAGTGGGGAAAAAAAGTATTTAGTCAGCCACCAATTGTGCAAGTTCTCCCACTTAAAAAGATGAGAGAGGTCTGTAATTTTCATCGTAGGTACACGTCAACTATGACAGACAAAATGAGAAAAAAATCCAGAAAATCACATTGTAGGATTTTTAATGAATTTATTTGCAAATTATGGTGGAAAATAAGTATTTGGTCAATAACAAAAGTTTCTCAATACTTTGTTATACACCCTTTGTTGGCAATGACACAGGTCAAACGTTTTCTGTAAGTCTTCACAAGGTTTTCACACACTGTTGCTGGTATTTTGGCCCATTCCTCCATGCAGATCTCCTCTAGAGCAGTGATGTTTTGGGGCTGTCGCTTGGCAACACGGACTTTCAACTCCCTCCAAAGATGTTCTATGGGGTTGAGATCTGGAGACTGGCTAGGCCACTCCAGGACCTTGAAATGCTTCTTACGAAGCCACTCCTTCGTTGCCCGGGTGGTGTGTTTGGGATCATTGTCATGCTGAAAGACCCAGCCACGTTTCATCTTCAATGCCCTTGCTGATGGAAGGAGGTTTTCACTCAAAATCTCACGATACATGGCCCCATTCATTCTTTCCTTTACACGGATCAGTCGTCCTGGTCCCTTTGCAGAAAAACAGCCCCAAAGCATGATGTTTCCACCCCCATGCTTCACAGTAGGTATGGTGTTCTTTGGATGCAACTCAGCATTCTTTGTCCTCCAAACACGACGAGTTGAGTTTTTACCAAAAAGTTATATTTTGGTTTCATCTGACCATATGACATTATCCCAATCCTCTTCTGGATCATCCAAATGCACTCTAGCAAACTTCAGATGGGCCTGGACATGTACTGGCTTAAGCAGGGGGACACGTCTGGCACTGCAGGATTTGAGTCCCTGGCGGCGTAGTGTGTTACTGATGGTAGGCTTTGTTACTTTGGTCCCAGCTCTCTGCAGGTCATTCACTAGGTCCCCCCGTGTGGTTCTGGGATTTTTGCTCACCGTTCTTGTGATCATTTTGACCCCACGGGGTGAGATCTTGCGTGGAGCCCCAGATCGAGGGAGATTATCAGTGGTCTTGTATGTCTTCCATTTCCTAATAATTGCTCCCACAGTTGATTTCTTCAAACCAAGCTGCTTACCTATTGCAGATTCAGTCTTCCCAGCCTGGTGCAGGTCTATAATTTTGTTTCTGGTGTGCTTTGACAGCTCTTTGGTCTTGGCCATAGTGGAGTTTGGAGTGTGACTGTTTGAGGTTGTGGACAGGTGTCTTTTATACTGATAACAAGTGCAAACAGGTGCCATTAATACAGGTAACGAGTGGAGGACAGAGGAGCCTCTTAAAGAAGAAGTTACAGGTCTGTGAGAGCCAGAAATATTGCTTGTTTGTAGGTGACCAAATACTTATTTTCCACCATAATTTGCAAATAAATTCATTAAAAATCCTACAATGTGATTTTCTGGATTTTTTTTTCTCAATTTGTCTGTCATAGTTGACGTGTACCTATGATGAAAATTACAGGCCTTTCTCATCTTTTTAAGTGGGAGAACATGCACAATTGGTGGCTGACTAAATACTTTTTTCCCCCACTGTAGTCTACAATGGGCCAAGTAACCACCAGATGTAGTCTACAATGGGCCAAATAACCACCAGATGTAGTCTACAATGGGCCAAGTAACCACCAGATGTGGTCTACAATGGACCAAGTAACCACCAGATGTAGTCTACAATGGGTCAAGTAGCCACCAGAGGTAGTCTACAATGGGCCAAGTAACCACCAGATGTAGTCTACAATGGGCCAAGTAACCACCAGATGTAGTCTACAATGGGCCAAGTAACCACCAGAGGTAGTCTACAATGGACCAAGTAACCACCAGATGTAGTCTACAATGGGCCAAGTAATCACCTGATGTAGTCTACAATGGGCCAAGTAACCACCAGATGTAGTCTACAATGGGCCAAGTAACCACCAGATGTAGTCTACAATGGGCCAAGTAATCACCTGATGTAGTCTACAATGGGCCAAGTAACCACCAGATGTAGTCTACAATGGGCCAAGTAACCACCAGATGTAGTCTACAATGGGCCAAGTAACCACCAGAGGTAGTCTACAATGGGCCAAGTAACCACCAGATGTCGTCTACAATGGGCCAGGTAACCACCAGATGTAGTCTACAATTGACCAAGTAACCACCAGATGTAGTCTACAATGGGCCAAGTAATCAAATCAAATCAAATCAAATCAAATTTTATTGGTCACATGCGCCGAATACAACAGGTGCAGACATTACAGTGAAATGCTTACTTACAGCCCTTAACCAACAGTGCATTTATTTTAAACAAAAAAGTAAGAATAAAACAACAACAAAAAAGTGTTGAGAAAAAAAGAGCAGAAGTAAAAAATAAAGTGACAGTAGGGAGGCTATATATACAATAGAATAAAGTGACAGTAGGGAGGCTATATATACAGGGGGGTACCGTTGCATAGTCAATGTGCGGGGGCACCGGCTAGTTGAGGTAATATGTACATGTGGGTAGAGTTAAAGTGACTATGCATAAATACTTAACAGAGTAGCAGCAGCGTAAAAGGGATGGGGTGGGGGGGCAGTGCAAATAGTCCGGGTACATCACCAGATGTAGTCTACAATGGGCCAAGTAATCACCAGATGTAGTCTACAATGGGCCAAGTAACCACCAGATGTAGTCTACAATGGGCCAAGTAACCACCAGAGGTAGTCTACAATGGGCCAAGTAACCACCAGAGGTAGTCTACAATGCCACGGGATAAACACAGGCACTCTGGAAAGTTGCTTTGGTGCCCTACTTTAAATGGTTCCAATTTTTGTGGAAGAACCTACTGTATGAGCAGTGAGCAGTGTTTCCATATAGACAACAGACCTTATTAGAGGAGAAATAGCCTCTTAAACGGCATGAGTTTTTGGCTTTGTTTTTAGGGTGGCGGCTGAAGAGAAGATGGAGTGTGAGAAGAAGTGAGAAAAGGAGTGTAGCACAAGGGGAATCCCAGTTAGACTTGCTCAAATCTGGGATGCAATAAAAAATTACAGGACATGAGCTGAGCTGACCTGCTGTACTTTTCCTATGAAGTGAATCAGGACAAAGTAATGTCTCTGTTGAATCTCTGAAATGTCCTGAGTCACTGTAATGTCCTGAAATGTTCAGCTCTTGCAGAAATGTTCAGCTCTCACAGAAATGTTCAATTCTCACTGAAATGTTCAGTTCTCACTGAAATGTTCAACTCTCACTGAAATGTTCAAACTCTTTTTTTTCCACTTGGCCCTTTCTCTATTCATTAAATAATAATACACAAAAATGACTGCGCATCCCTTCACAGTCAAAACCCTGTGATACCCGATTACTAATTTATTAGTTGGTATAAGCCCGCAATTAATTTGATTTGACATTTGGGTGCACCCCAGGCTCAAGACACACGATAAGACCAAGGCATTACCTCAGACTTGTGTGACATATTGATACCACACACACACACACACACACGCACATACACAAATATATACACACACACAGACACACACCCCACCACACCTCGCTTGAAGCAACACTCACAACTGATCTGTCTGACTCACCTACTACACACATTTCTCAAGCCATAAATCCATTCAACAAAAAACAGGAATTGACACTAAAAATGCATTCAGCTTTTACCTTTTTTTTCAGTGCAGATGAGTGGGAGAGGAAGTAGGCGTTTTCCACATATATCCTTAAGTGCATGGACTGTAAGCAGACAGACGGCGTGAGGTTTCAGTTCTTCCTCTATGCTCAGTGACTAAATATTGCAAGGAAGAGCAGTTATGTAGACAGCTGATGCATGAGGCAGAGGGCTGGGTGTTTGTGTGTGTGTGTGTGTTAGTGTTAGTGTGTTAGTGTGTTAGTGTGTTCGTGTGTGTGTGTGTGTGTGCGTGCGTGCGTGGGGGGGGGGGGGGGGGGGGGGACATGAGGAAAAGAGAAAGTGGGAGGAGTAGTATTTCTTTTTTTAAAGGGACAGAACTTTATTTCTGAGAGGTAGACAGCTTGACACACACACAGACAGACAGTTGCCCTACTTGAGATAAATTGACTGAATTATAAGGTTTACGATGAATACAATGATACGTTTATAACATAAATGTTCACCAGTTCGCCTACTTTTGTATATTACCGTACCCTTAGACCTACTACTACTCCTACTACTACTTTTACATTAACAATAGCCCTTAGCACATATTAGCAGACTGATTTCATTTCAAACTTCACATGTATCTACTATAGGCTACTTATCGTAATTATCGATATCAGTCAAATGTCCTTGATAAAATGGTCGGTATGGTCTGAGTGGATCATTTACGGTTTATCGTCCAAGCTCTATGCTCTACCCATTGAAAGTCAAATAATAAGGACCATTACTAGTCTAAAACAAATTAACCAATATTATCAATTTGACAGTTTATTTGATTAAATATAGTGATTGAACTCCACTGGTGCAGAAAATGTATTGATCATCTCTGGGTATTCTTATCTTTGACCACTTCTGACGATGTTTTTTTAAATTATTTTTTTTACAATTGACCGTACCTTCTTCAAGTCTTTAACCACTGGGGGCTGTTAGGTTAACTCCTTCCAATCTCATCCAAAATACAGTACCCCTTCCTCTCACAGAAACTTAAAGTCACGCACAGAGGCGGATCTAGTGATGTCGTTACAATGTTTGATTGGATAGCGTGGTAAAGGCTGTATGGCGTGGGTTAGGTTGATTCACGTTAATTAATTTCTTTTGTTGTGATAAAACGTTTAGCTAGCTGCCGAGAGTTTTTCTTCAATCGTATTAACCAGAAAGTTAAATTTTTCTGTTCATCATTTGCGAGGATGAGTGGCGGGGTGTATGGAGGCGGTGAGTGTGATTTTGAGGTAAAAATTACATGAATGAATGCGCCACGTTGTGCCGTAGGAAGAAATATGCTACAACTAGCTTGCTAGTTAGCCTGTTAGCAAAGTGCTCTGCAGACTGGTATTATCACAGATAGGAATTCTTTGGTATTATCTTTAGCATTTAGCTAGCTATCAATGACGGGCAAAATCATTTATTTTCTCTCATGTACTTGCTACTTTGTGATTTATGAAATATGACTGCCTGCCTTCCATCTAATGAGTGAAAGCTGCAACTAGCTAGCTAAGTTAGCTAAGCGCTAGCTACATGTCTAACAGCTCTTTGCAGATTAATTACTCGCTACTTTAGCGTGCTGACTATTTTATAATTTTAGCGAACGTTAGCTATGTAGCTTTTAGTTGTCCAGGATATTAGCATATTATACGGAAGTTCAACCAAAATAATACGTTTAGAATTCATACACAGACATTTCATATTTTCATTTTTTAGCTTTCTAAGTAGAAATATAGCTAGCTAGAAGTGTGGTTTGAAAGCTAGCCTCTAGTCTTGATGTATATCAAAACATTGCTCCAACGTTGTACATTACTTGCAAGACAGTTACTGTTGTGTAATTTCTTCACTTTTGCATCTTTTCTCTGCAGATGAGGTTGGAGCCCTGGTGTTTGACATAGGCTCTTACACAGTGAGAGCCGGCTATGCTGGAGAAGATTGTCCCAAGGTAAGCGCCCAAGTCTAGTGACCTTATTTTTAACTATGCGTCTTCCTCTGCGCATTAATTTCCTTCTAGAGGGTATTAATGTCAGGAAATAAGGACTGTCACCCATGAGACAGTGAGCATGAATTGGGTTTAGGTAGTCTGTCAGTTCCTGTGTCACGTGCATTTGCCTTCATGAATAGAAATAAGGCCACTGTCTGTCATCATAAGAGAATGACTTGATGTGCAGCAGGTAGCCTAGTGGTTAAGAGCCTTGGGCCAGTAACTGAAAGGTTGCTGGTTCAAATCCCCAAGCCGATTAGGTGAACAATCTGCCATTGTGCCCTTGAGCAAGGCACTTAACCCTAATTGCTCCTGTAAGTCGCTCTGGATAAGAGCGTCTGCTAAATGACTTAAATGTAAAATGTGCTACTGTCTATGGCTAGGCAATGGACAAATTACATCCTTCTGCAAACTGGATTTCTTTTTTAGCATGCCTGCTTCTTTTTGCCAGCTTGTTGTATATCTGAAAGGGGTAAAATAACATGGACAAATAAAAAGCCACCGGAAGACCTAGTCATGGTTACTGCCGTTTCACAGACCCTGTAACCAAAATACAGGTTTCGGGTCTGTGTGAATGGTTCTGTTTTTTAGCAGGTACATTCATTAAGACTTCCATTGTTTAACACCTCCCTAATCTGAAATACAACCAGCCCCCATGGTTTTAACTACATCCCCACCCCTCCCAATTCGCCAGTTGCCCACTGACATGTATAAAAGGGGTATACCTGTAAGTAGGTGGTATATAAGGGGCTGTTTGAAAGTGGGTCACATAAACATAGCCTTATATCACCTGTAAAAAGATATATGACATAATTTGTCTGAAATGGAACACTACTGAGTCCTCCTGTTCCATTCCTCTGAGTACCGGTACCCCCTGTATATAGCCTCCCTAGTGTTATTTTATTTTACTGCTGCTCTTTAATTATTTTACATTTTTTACTTAATACTTTTTTATTTTTTTCTCTCTTTTCTTAAAAAACTGCGTTGTTGGTTAAGCGCTTGTAAGTAAACATTTCACTGTAAGGTCTACACCTGATGTATTCGGCGCATGTGGTATTTTTTGTTGATTTGATTTCTGGACACTTATGGAATGCACACTTATTCTGCTTTTGACTGTAACACCAGTGTTCCACTAGTGTATTCACCCTGATGTTATACTGGGGAAATGGTGTTTCCATAGCTAGGGCTGGCAGTGAGGACGCGTAAAGAGAAGAATCAACATCCTCTGTAGAATCAAAACAGTTTATCTGTGAGAAGGCGTTAACCATCGAAGGTGTAAACACATGTTCACACTTATCCATTGTTACCTCACGCCGTCTGTCTGCTTACAGTCCATGCACTTAAGGACATATGTGGAAAACGCCTACTTCCTCTCCCACTCATCTGCACTGAAAAAAAAAAGGTAAAAGCTGAATGCATTTTTAGTGTCAATTCCTATCGGCCTTGCCTTGACCCCAAGTTGGAGCAGGTCCGCCGGAGCCATGGCCCAGTGAAGCACAGGTGCTGGCCCATGTACATGGAAACAGAAAAGTCTTAGCCTTTTGGGTGAAACACTGGGGTAAATCCTCAGTGGAAATGCGCCATAATATGCACTAGGGTTGTACGATATTACAAGACAGTCGTGAAGAGGGCACGACAAAGCCTATTCCCCCTCAGGAGACTGAAAATATTCGGCATGGTTCCTCAGATCCTCAAAAAATTATACAGCTGCACCATCGAGAGCATCCTGACTGGTTGCATCACCGCCTGGTATGGCAACTGCTTGGCCTCCGACCGCAAGGCACTACAGAGGGTAGTGCGTACGGCCCAGTACATCACTGGGGCCAAGCTTCCTGCCATCCAGGATCTCTATACCAGGCGGTGTCAGAGGAAGGCCCTCAAAATTGTCAAAGACTCCAGCCACCCTAGTCATAGACTGTTCTCTCTGCTACCGCACGGCAAGCGGTACCGGAGTGCCAAGTCTAGGTCCAAAAGACTTCTCAACAGCTTCTACCCCCAAGCCATAAGACTCCTGAACAGCTAATCATGGCTACCCGGACTATTTGCACTGCCCCCCCACCCCATCTTTTTAACGCTGCTGCTACTCTGTTAATTATTTATGCATAGTCACTTTAACTCTACCCACATGTACATATTACTTCAACTACCTCAACTAGCCGGTGCCCCCGCACATTGACTCTGCACCGGTACCCCCCTGTATATAGCCTCCCTACTGTTATTTTATTTTACTTCGCTCTTTTTTCTCAACACTTTTTTGTTTTATTTTTACCTTCTTTATTAAAAATAAATGCACTGTTGGTTAAGGGCTTGTAAGTAAGCATTTCATTTGTTCACTTCTTTATAAAAATTGATTGAAAATAAGGATGAAGTATTCCTTTAAGAGTTTCTTGTTATTTATTGTTACTCTTCTAGAGTTTGGTTTCGTAAGTAAGTGAGCATTCGCCGCATGTGACAAATCAGATTTGATTTGATTTGATGGCCATCGTCGATGGTGACAACATCATGATGTTACTGGCGATACCTAACCTATTTCAACTTGACTGGCACCAGTCACGGTTGACAACTCCGTTGTGTCCTCCTCCCAGAGTGCAAAGAGCCTTGGCGTGACCCTGGACAACACCCTGTCGTTCTCCGCCAACATCAAGGCGGTGACCCGATCCTGCAGGTTCATGCTCTACAACATTCGGAGAGTACGACCCTGCCTTACACAGGAAGCGGCACAGGTCCTAATCCAGGCACTTGTCATCTCCCGTCTGGATTACTGCAACTCGCTGTTGGCTGGGCTCCCTGCCTGTGCCATTAAACCCCTACAACTCATCCAGAATGCCGCAGCCCGTCTGGTGTTCAACCTTCCCAAGTTCTCTCACGTCACCCCCCTCCTCCGCACACTCCACTGGCTTCCAGTTGAAGCTCGCATCCGTTACAAGACCATGGGCTTGCCTATGGAGCAGTGAGGGGAACGGCACCTCCGTACCTTCAGGCTCTGATCAGTCCCTACACCCAGGCGAGGGCATTGCGTTCATCCACCTCTGGCCTGCTGGCTCCCCTTCCTCTGCGGAAGCATAGTTCCCGCTCAGCCCAGTCAAAGCTGTTCGCTGCTCTGGCACCCCAATGGTGGAACAAGCTCCCTCACGACGCCAGGACAGCGGAGTCACTCACCACCTTCCGGAGACATTTGAAACCCCACCTCTTTAAGGAACACCTGGGATAGGATAAAGTAATCCTTCTACCCCCCCCCCCCCCCCCCCCCCCCCCAAAAAAAAAGAAAAGAGAAAAAAAAGTATAATTGTAAAGTGGTTATCCCACTGGCTATAGGGTGAATGCACCAATTTGTAGTCGCTCTGGATAAGAGCGTCTGCTAAATGACGTAAATGTGCCCTTGAGCAAGGCACTTAACCCTAATTGCTCCTGTAAGTCGCTCTGGATAAGAGCGTCTGCTAAATGACTAAAATGTAAATGTAAAATGAGTCGGGCGCACAGCAGGGGCAGTGCATGGGTGACATTCAGAGTAAATAGCCTATATTGCTATTTCAATAAACTATTTTTTTATATACTGGGCACCTTGTGTCTTATTGTATTAATAGCCTAATTTCCTATTTTCTCTCCATTTGATATGAATATGACTTGGCCTATAAGCCACTCTTTCAGTTTTATGCATACCGGATTTCTCCCTCTGCGCAATTTCATGATCAAACAATGAATTAATCTAAAAAATAAAAAATGTATAACCTTAAAACATCGTAATAGTAATAATGAGAAAGATGGAAGTAACAATAGCAAGAGAAAATAATCGAATGAGAAATTTCAACAAACCTTAGTTTGTCATAAAACAGAAATTATGCGTGCACGCGAGGCTGGGAAAAAAATCCCTCCTTGCCGTTACGAACCAAAAGGCTAAAAAAGGTTAAAATAAATTAAAGTTATGAGTATTTCCCAAATATTCTAATAGTGTTTAATGTCCTAAAGTTTCAGCTTTTAAATGGGAACAATTAGTTTGAGTCTATGCTCTTCGCAATCACAGCTTTATTTTGAATGACACATATTTCAGGCCACAAGAAACAATACCAAGATGTTGCACACACATCCACTAAAATGTTGGATAACATAATGAAACAAGTTTGATTGCAGAATTTATTAGGCATTATTGATGCAATGACACTGTCGGTCTGATCGAGGCGTTAAGGCGTCTGCATGCTTCCCAGCCGAAACAGTTCGGTAGAGTTCATGCATATATTATTACGACATTTTGTGACGTTTTCTTCGTTTTGGACTTCGGTGAGGGTTTTTTCGGATGTTCGGGCACACAACCTTTTTTCTGGAGGCAAGTTCGGAGTCGAAGTCTACACCCCTTCGTCGGTGATTGGTCAACAGTAGGGATTCTTCAATAAAGTATTTTGTTGTCATTCAACTTTTTTCATTGAGAAATACTGGACCAAACATCTTTGTTAGGTGTAAAATTGCGCGACTAAGCTCTCTTCACCAAAAAAACGTCAAAATTATTGACAGATTTCTTGAGTTATCTTAGATTATACTGACTATTTTGAGGAAGTGTGCACTGGCGTCTCAAAATGGACAAACAGTACTATTGCCGCTTTTTTCTTGATTTTCAAGCGAAGGTCTTAAGGGAGTATGCGAACACACTAGGCGCCAGCCGAACTGAAGCATGCTGACGCCTTTAGGCTACTGCTGAGCAAAGTTTATGAAAGAAACGATGCATGACCTATAGTTGGCCATGGCCTATTTCCATTAGAGCCCGACCTAGTTATTTTTTTAGGTCCGACACCGATGTGGATTTCTTACATTGTGACAATAATGACTCATGAAAATGGCCACAAGTGGTCAGATAAGCAAGAGATTTACCTTTTTTCATTCTATTTAGGGAATACCGGTTATCAGTGGAATTATCGGTTTATACCAATTATAGTTATAAAAGGCCAATATCTGCCGACGTTAATATTGGTGAACCAATATATCGGTTGGGCTCTAATTTCAATATTATTCTAGAAATGTGCAACCTACCTACAAGGCATAGTAGCTTAGGCCTAAAAAGAGGAGGATGAAGAATAAATGTGAATCAGTTTTATAATGATCCAGGACTGAGGACAGTAGAGTTGCTCTGCAGCCCGTTGAGATGATTTACATCCCAGCACATGACAGCCAGTGAGGCTCGTTGACTGTGTCACGCTCCTCCTGCGCTCTTTGGCACACACCACTCAGATAGGCCTGCACATCTCTTTCGTTCCGCAGCTACACCAGAGTGGAATAGGCTACTAGAAAATATTTGGCATCCCTCCCATAGTATGCGAGCTCGTACTAGGGACTTTAAAAAAAAAAAACGTGAATTTTGGGATAACATCGTCTATTTTTTTTTTTATATGTACAGAATCATGATAGGACAAAAGTTGACATCACCCAACCCTAATATACAAATGTATTTGTGCCCGTAGGCTGACTTCCCCACAGTGATGGGCGTGACCCTGGACAGGGAGGATGGCAGCACCCCGATGGAGACGGACGGGGGGGACAAGGTCAAGCAGGGCACCAACTACTTCATCGACACCAACCAGCTGAGGGTGGCCCGCGAAAACATGGAGGTCATGTCACCACTCAAAAACGGCATGAGTGAGTTTCTCTCCCTCGTCATGTGATCGTGGACAATGTGGAAGTTGTATTGACAGCGTTCTGCCTGGACGAAATTAAAGCAAATGCTGTGAAGTGACATGCAGAGTGTATAGGCAGAGCAGGTAGTGGGAATGCCAGGCGATGTCTTCAATATCTAGGACAATGCACAATGTTTTGAGAGAGGCTCCTTGTCTGGACTGCTCTGTTTGTCTGTGGCCACTGGTCAGTGACCTGATAATCTTCCTGTGAGATGAACACAAACGGCAGTATTGACGTGTCCGGAGGCTTTGCCTTTCTGAAATTGTCTGTGCTTTGCCACTATGATACGATATACTTTATTGTCAATTTAACATTGACATTTATTTTGTAAAGCCACCATATAAACGCACACAAAAAAAAATAAAACGCGTTGAAATGATCAACAGTCAACACAGTGATTTAGAGGTTATGAAGAGGATGGTCTTTGTTAGAAAAGAGAAATGATGGTTGGTCATTGGTCAGACTGAGAACTATCATGGATGAGGTATTGGTTCTCCTGAACTGTCCATGGTGCTTACATTATTCCCCATAAAAAAAAAAAACCAATATTTTATGACAATGCCATTAATGACTTTTCTGCTTACGTGATCCTTTAGGAGGCCTGACTGACTTTAATCTGAATTCAGTACTGGGGAGTTGGGCTATTTAGAGGAAAGTGTGACAGTGATATTAATAGACTATAGAACAGAGAGCTCCTTGGAGTGCTGCCCTCGATTAGAATTCACACTTCGCTCAAATTAGCAAAGTTCATTAGTCTATTTTCTCCAGTATCCGACCCAGCATCAGAGATGAAAGACATATAGTCTAATAAAATGTGGTTGTGTGACGAGACGTATGCATGCACACCTTAAAGTTAGAGTCAGCGATATGACGTAGATGCACAATGTAAACAGCATAGTGGGTCAATTTCCGCAACAACTGAGATGGAGCGCGAGGCTACACTTCTACGCAGTTTTTCTCCCATTTCTATCATGCTCTAACAGTGTGAAGCAAAGCCATGCACAGATACTGTGTGGGAGTGAAGTCTTGCATCTTGATCTTTGCAATATCTGCAGTGCTGCTCGTGGTAACTTCATTTTTGCTCTTAAGTATTAACCATTCAAAAGTACCAGGCTTTATTTGCAGCAGATGACCTGCATGACTTGCCCAAAGAGAGAGGAATTTATGTGATTGTGATCAGTTTCTATGGATATTTTATACAAGGAAAACTACCTTGGCCCAAACCCCTTGCCTACATAATTTGTTGTGAGAAATTTGCACTGGTGACCATGACATTCTCTAACCATGACATCCTCTAACTCGGTACATTGATCTCTTTTGTTTGTTTATTATCTGTGAAGTCGAGGACTGGGACAGCTTCCAGGCCGTTCTGGACCACACCTACAAGATGCACTTCAAGTCCGAGCCCAGCATGCATCCTGTACTCATGTCAGAAGCCTCGGTGAGTAGGCCTCGCCTCCGGTTTGGAATGAGTCTCATGTCATTTACAACACACACCCTTTAATAGTGCGTAGGTTTTGTGATAAACTCGTTCAGTATGGCGTGAGCCCCATGTACGTCGGAATGAGCGTGCACACCGACAGCCAGTAGAGCCCTCAATGCTCAGCCCTGATTTTGAATAAAAACAAACCACTATGGAGTTATTATACTGTGATATAGAATTTTGTTTTCTGTAGTACTGTGATATAGAATTTTGTTTTCTGTAGTACTGTGATTATAGAATTGTGGTTTTCTGTAGTTATTCAGTCTATGGTGTCCTGCTGGTTCATTGTACACTGATATTTCGCATTAGAGGCCCCAAACGGAAAGAAAACGCTCTGAAACAGAAGGTATTATCTGTACTTGTTCAACAAGAAACGCTAGTTCACATTTCACTTGCAAAATGTTTTACTATGGCGTGCCCTAATGAACACAACGCCGTTGTAAAAAGAGGATCTTCATGGTTTTCTCTTCTCTGCAGTGGAACACGCGAGCTAAGCGGGAGAAGCTAACCGAGCTGATGTTTGAGCATTACAACATTCCTGCCTTCTTCCTGTGTAAAACGGCGGTGCTGTCCTCGTATCCTTCCGCTTCCACAGTGAATTGAAATAATATAAGGATGTTAATGGAAGGTTAATGAAGCTGGTGGCTCGATGGTGTCACTAATAAAACATTAGTCAAATGACACGATCCATCTGCTGTTTTGATAATGACCCCAAAATCTCTGTTTTCTTTGCATTTTTTAAAATTTGTATTTAACCACGTTAGTCTCATTTGAAAAAAAAAAAGAAAAAAACATTTGCAAGAGTTGTTTGCTATTAGCTATTGCTCATGTGACTTTGACACAAGGGGTTGGGCTAAAATACATCGCATCGCATCTCATCTCTCTAGAAAAGGCCCTTCTGTTCTCTTAACTCTTGAGTAACTCAGCTTTGCCAATGGACGATCCACAGGGTTGGTGCTAGACAGCGGAGCCACGCACACAACAGCCATTCCAGTGCACGACGGTTACGTGCTTCAGCAAGGTCAATTGTCTAACTTCTCCCACTGCCCGCTTTTCTATTTTAGTTTGAATGTTGTCGTTTTTTTTATCCACATCATGTACAAGTCTTAAAAGGGATGGATAAACTCTTACCATTTATGAGTTGACCAGAAATGTCGTCCATCCACTTTGAAGCCATCGTGTCTCGGGATGTGGGTCGAAATTACTTTAGATGGACACTGATTTGGTTTTGAATACTTCAAGCTTGTGGAATCCCCAAAATCAATAAATCAACTGGAGAGCAGCAAACTGGGTAACACTTCCATCCCCTCCCTGCAACACTTCCATCCCCTCCCTGCAACACTTCCATCCCCTCCCTGCAACACTTCCATCCCCTCCCTGCAACACTTCCATCCCCTCCCTGCAACACTTCCATCCCCTCCCTGCAACAAATTGAATCTCCATAGGAAGTATGGTAGCAGTAAGATTATGGAAACGCAGTTAAGGGGTTTGACATTATTATCCACCTCCAAATCATCTCCTTACACTAAAGAGAAATGAGAACAACCATCTTGGTAAAGCATCAAGGGCTTTCTGCAGTGAGGCCATTAGAGTCGGAGCTGCAGTGAAATACAACACGAGGAGAATAGCACAGGAGTCCAGACCGGTATATAAAAATCAATGGAGCCATTTTAGTTGATATGAGGAAATGTTAGGGTCATTAAAGGAGCAGTGTGTTGGGGTCGTTAAGGGAGCAGTGTGTTAGGGTCGTTAAAGGAGCAGTGTGTTAGGGTCGTTAGGGGAGCAGTGTGTTAGGGTTGTTAAAGGAGCAGTGTGTTAGGGTCGTTAAAGGAGCAGTGTGTTGGGGTCGTTAAGGGAGCAGTGTGTTAGGGTCGTTAAAGGAGCAGTGTGTTAGGGTCGTTAGGGGAGCAGTGTGTTAGGGTCGTTAAAGGAGCAGTGTGTTGGGGTCGTTAAAGGAGCAGTGTGTTAGGGTCGTTAAGGGAGCAGTGTGTTAGGGTCGTTAAAGGAGAAGTGTGTTAGGGTCGTTAAAGGAGCAGTGTGTTGGGGTCGTTAAAGGAGCAGTGTGTTAGGGTCGTTAAGGGAGCAGTGTGTTGGGGTCGTTAAGGGAGCAGTGTGTTGGGGTCGTTAAAGGAGCAGTGTGTTGGGGTCGTTAAGGGACCAGTGTGTTAGGGTCGTTAAAGGAGCAGTGTGTTAGGGTCGTTAAGGGAGCAGTGTGTTAAGGTCGTTAAGGGAGCAGTGTGTTAGGGTCGTTAAGGGAGCAGTGTGTTAGGGTCGTTAAGGGAGCAGTGTGTTAGGGTCGTTAAGGGAGCAGTGTGTTAGGGTCGTTAAGGGAGCAGTGTGTTAGGGTCGTTAAAGGAGCAGTGTGTTAGGGTCGTAAGGGGAGCAGTGTGTTAGGGTCGTTAAGGGAGCAGTGTGTTGGGGTCGTTAAAGGAGCAGTGTGTTAGGGTCGTTAAAGGAGCAGTGTGTTAGGGTCGTTAAGGGAGCAGTGTGTTGGGGTCGTTAAAGGAGCAGTGTGTTAGGGTCGTTAAAGAAGCAGTGTGTTAAGGGAGCAGTGTGTTGGGGTCGTTAAGGGACAAGCATGAGGACACTGCCTCTGTTCACAATGATGCAAAGTCGATTCGGTGTTCTTGGCCTGTGTATGTCATAGTAGTTATAAGCCTTCATAGCAGGTGTATAATGCTCTAAATGATTGGAGGGGGAAAGCGTTTTGATGCTTTAAATGAGACTGATATTGTGTTCCATATAATTTCCCCAAAACTATCCAAATGACATGTTTTTTTTGTATTTTATTTCAGGCATTGTCAAGTCTCCCCTTGCTGGGGACTTCATGAGCATGCAATGTAGAGAGCTATTTCAAGAGTTAAACGTTGAAATAGTCCCTCCTTACATGATTGCATCAAAGGTGAGACCTGCTAAAGTAAGTCAAAACTACTCATTTCAGAGATTCCACTTCTCACTTTTTGGTGCTATTGCTCACGTTATGGTGGTGGGGCGTTTGTAAGTATAGAACTTCGATATTTAAAAAAATATCGATCTTTACATATTCAGGTTGTCTCGTGTATTTCCCTTCATCCACTACATTTTTGTTTCAATAATCACTTTTGTCATAGTTTAAAATATTCAAAAGGGGATTTCATATTGGGTTTGTTTGAAAATCTGCATGTAGTATTAATGTTGTCTAGATTTGTGCTTTGTAATTTGACGATTGACCAATAACAATTGATACAGTGATGCTCTAACTCAGGTATTTTGTTCCCGTACATTGCATGCATGAGCATCAAATTGACATGCACTATAAATTGGGATAGACGGAATCAGTTTGATCAACTCCTTACCAAAAGCCCTACACTGGCCTTAATTGGAATTCCCTCATCGTTCTCTATTGTCTTGTACTTGCATTCAAATGAATTCAAATGAGCATGTCGCACAGCATGCTTGAAAAAGTAATAATCTACAAAACGTAAAGCAAGGAAATATCTGTCATTTAATAAGCACTGGACGGAAGAAACCATGATAGGAACCATACTTCACAGGAATCCCATCCATTGTTCAAGCCTTGATTTTTCACATCACAAAATGTGCCATTGTCCTGTGATAGTCTTCACCATCACCCGTCAGACTCTGAGATGTGATTTCTCTGAATGAATCAGGAATTCCTCATATTCCTGACCTCAAAAGACTGGAAGCCTTTTAATCCCTGGCTCCCTTTTATTCCACTCTCTTCCTCTAGCCTGGTCCCAGATATGTTGGTACTCCTACGGTCATTTCCATAGACGGCACAAGCAGCTCTGGAACCAGGGTACTTGTCCACTATGACAGCGTTTCTGCTAACCTTTAGTGTTTCTCGCTGTAGGATGCTGTACGTGAAGGAGCCCCAGCCAGCTGGAAGAAGAAGGAGAAACTACCTCAAGTCACCCGGTCCTGGCACAACTACATGTGTAATGTAAGCAGCTTTTGTGTGTTCTATTGGCGAACAGAAAGTCATAAACCGTCCAATGGAGGTGGTCGGTGCCGCATCACCGTAACATACGGGTCATAGACGTGATGCGAACTTGTGTCTTCCTCATTCACATTTTCCTAATGTGAATATTAATTACTGTACTGTTTAGAACTATTATTTTATATATTTTCGCCCCTGCCTCCAGACTGTGATCCAGGATTTCCAAGCGTCCGTGCTGCAGGTTTCAGACTCGCCATATGATGAACAGTGAGTCCACCATAATTTACTCCCATTCTATAATTTCACAATAACCACCACAGAATAGTTATCTCCCTTAAAGGGTTAATTCTCATTGTATTGAAATGTAATCCTCCCACAGAGTTGCAGCCCAGATGCCCACAGTTCACTATGAGCTGCCCAACGGATACAACTGTGACTTTGGGGCAGAGAGGCTGAAGATTCCAGAAGGCCTTTTTGACCCCTCCAATGCCAAGGTGAGAATCACATGAATACCATAATGCCTCAATCATGCTCTGTGACCTGTCTGAAATGTGGTGTTCCTGGAATGTTCAATGTTCTAACCGTCTGTTCTGGTTCTCATCCACAGGGTCTGTCTGGCAACACCATGTTGGGAGTCGGCCACGTGGTGACCACCAGTGTGGGAATGTGTGACATCGATATTCGGCCGGTAGGTGCCAGCATTCAAGACCTATCACTTTGCTTGTTTTGGCTGCCTTGTTTACTAGGCCTGTGTATTTTGTGAGTGATATGTGATCTATTAATGTTATTCAGAATTACAAGATTGAGGCCAGGTGACCTTTATTCCCACAGAGGTTGCACATAACTGACCTTTGACCTTTGTCTCAGGGTCTTTATGGTAGCGTGGTGGTCACCGGCGGCAACACACTCATCTCGGGCTTCACGGACCGACTCACCAGAGAACTCTCTCAGAAGACCCCTCCTGTGAGTGATGCACAAAAGTATTTCTCATTGACTTGTTTTGTCCATTTCTTGTCCTCTTGTTAGTAAATGTTCCTGTCCACAGTTCCTGTCAGTGTCTAATTTGTCTTCTCTCCTCTATTCAGAGCATGAGGCTGAAGTTGATAGCCAACAACACAACGGTGGAGCGCAGGTTCAGTGCCTGGATAGGAGGCTCCATCTTGGCATCACTAGTGAGTTCACATCCATATATATACATTACCAGTCAGAAGTTTGGACAAACCTACTAATTCAAGGGTTTTTCTTTATTTTTACTATTTTCTACATTGTAGAATAATAGTGAAGACATCAAAACTATGAAATAACACATATGGAATCATGTAGTAACCAAAAATGTGTTAAACAAATCAAAATATATTATATATTTGAGATTCTTCAAATAGCCACCCTTTGCTTTGATGACAGCATTGTACATTCTTGGCATTCTCTCAACCAGCTTCACCTGGAATGCTTTTCCAACAGTCTTGAAGGAGTTCCCACATATGCTGAGCATTTGTTGGCTGCTTTTCCTTCACTCTAACGTCCGACTCATCCCAAACCATCGCAATTGGGTTGAGGTCGGGGGATTGTGGAGGCCAGGTCATCTGATGCAGCACTCCATCACTCTCCTTCTTGGTGAAATAGCCCTTACACAGCCTGGAGGTGTGTTGGGTCATTGTCCTGTTGAAAAACAAATGATAGTCCCACTAAGCCCAAAACAGATGGGATGCCGTATCGCTGCAAAATGCTGTGGGAGCCATGCTGGTTAAGTGTGCCTTGAATTCTAAATAAATCACAGACAGTGTCACCCAGCAAAGCACCCCCACACCATAACACCACCTCCTCCATGCTTTACGGTGGGAAATACACATGCAGAGATCATCCGTTCACCCACACTGCTTCTCACAAAGACACAGCGGTTGGAACCAAAAATCTCCAATTTGGACTCCAGACCAAAGGACAAATTTCCACTGGTCTAATGTCCATTGCTCGTGTTTCTTGGCCCAAGTAGGTCTCTTCTTCTTATTGGTGTCCTTTAGTAGTGGTTTCTTTGCAGCAATTCGACCATGAAGGCCTGATTCACACAGTCCCCTCTGAACAGTTGATGTTGAGATGTGTGTTATTTGAACTCTGAAGCATTTATTTGGGCTGCAATTCCTGAGGCTGGTAACTCTAATGAACTTATCCTCTGCAGCAGAGGTAACTCTGGGTCTTCCATTGCTGTGGCGGTCCTCATGAGAGCCAGTTTCATCATAGCGCTTGATGGTTTTTGCGACTGCGCTTGGAAGAAACTTTAAAAGTTCCTGAAATGTTCCGTATTGACTGACCTTCATGTCTTAAAGTAATGATGAACTGTTGTTTCTCTTTGCTTATTTGAGCTATTCATGCCATAATATGGACTTGGTATTTTACCAAATAGGGCTATCTTCTGTATACCAACCCTACCTTGTCACAACACAACTGATTTGCTCAAACACATTAAGAAGGAAAGAAATTCCACAAATTAACTTTTAAGAAGGCACACCGGTTAATTGAAATGCGTTCCAGGGGACTACCTCATGAAGCTGGTTGAGAGAATGCCAAGAGTGTGCAAAGCTGTCATCAAGGCAAAGGGTGGCTATTTGAAGAATCTCAAATATAAAATATATTTTGATTTGTTAAACACTGTTTTGGTTACTACATGATTCCATATGTGTTATTTCATAATAGTCTTCACTATTATTCTACAATGTCAAAATAAAGAAAAACCCTTGAATGAGTAGGTGTGTCCAAACTTTTGGCTGGTAGTATGTACAGTGGGGAGAACAAGTATTTGATACACTGCCGATTTTGCAGGTTTTCCTACTTACAAAGCATGTAGAGGTCTGTAATTCTTATCATAGGTACACTTCAACTGTGAGAGACAGAATCTAAAACAAAAATCCAGAAAATCACATTGTATGATTTTTAAGTAATTAATTTGCATTTTATTACATGACATAAGTATTTGATACATCAGAAAAGCAGAACTTAATTTTTGGTATAGAAACCTTTGTTTTCAATTACAGAGATCATACGTTTCCTGTAGGTCTTGACCAGGTTTGCACACACTGCAGCAGGGATTTTGGCCCACTCCTTCATACAGACCTTCTCCAGATCCTTCAGGTTTCGGGGCTGTCGCTGGGCAATACGGACTTTCAGCTCCCTCCAAAGATTTTCTATTGGGTTCAGGTCTGGAGACTGGCTCGGCCACTCCAGGACCTTGAGATGCTTCTTACGGAGCCACTCTTAGTTGCCCTGGCTGTGTGTTTCGGGTCGTTGTCATGCTGGAAGACCCAGCCACGACCCATCTTCAATGCTCTTTCTGAGGGAAGGAGGTTGTTGGCCAAGATCTCGCGATACATGGCCCCATCCATCCTCCCCTCAATACGGTGCAGTCGTCCTGTCACCTTTGCAGAAAATCATCCCCAAAGAATTATGTTTCCACCTCCATGCTTCACGGTTGGGATGGTGTTCTTGGGGTTGTACTCATCCTTCTTCTTCCTCCAAACACGGCGAGTGGAGTTTAGACAAAAGCTCTATTTTTGTCTCATCAGACCACATGACCTTCTCCCATTCCTCCTCTGGATCATCCAGATGGTCATTGGCAAACTTCAGACGGGCCTGGACATGCACTGGCTTGAGCAGGGGGACCTTGCGTGCGCTGCAGGATTTTAATCCATGACGGCGTAGTGTGTTACTAATGGTTTTCTTTGAGACTGTGGTCCCAGCTCTCTTCAGGTCATTGACCAGGTCCTGCCGTGTAGTTCTGGGCTGATCCCTCACCTTCCTCATGATCATTGATGCCCCACAAGGTGAGATCTTGCATGGAGCCCCAGACCGAGGGTGATTGACCGTCATCTTGAACTTCTTCCATTTTCTAATAATTGCGCCAACAGTTGTTGCCTTCTCACCAAGCTGCTTGCCTATTGTCCTGTAGCCCATCCCAGCCTTGTGCAGGTCTACAATTTTATCCCTGATGTCCTTACTCAGCTCTCTGGTCTTGGCCATTGTGGAGAGGTTGGAGTCTGTTTGATTGAGTGTGTGGACAGGTGTCTTTTATACAGGTAACGAGTTCAAACAGGTGCAGTTAATATAGGTAATGAGTGGAGAACAGGAGGGCTTCTTAAAGAAAAACTAACAGGTCTGTGAGAGCCGGAATTCTTACTGGTTGGTAGGTGATCAAATACTTATGTCATGCAATAAAATGCAAATTAATTACTTAAAAGTCATACAATGTGATTTTCTGGATTTTTGTTTTAGATTCTGTCTCTCACAGTTGAAGTGTACCTATGATTAAAATTACAGACCTCTACATGCTTTGTAAGTAGGAAAACCTGCAAAATCTGCAGTGTATCAAATACTTGTTCTCCCCACTGTATATATACCACAGGAGGTTGGTGGTACCTTAATTGGGGAGGATGGGCTCGTGGTAATGGCTGGAGAATGGTATCCAATACATCAAACACATGGTTTCCATTCACTCCGTTCCAGCCATTATTATGAGCCGTCCTCCCCTCAGCAGCCTCCACTGATATACACTTCTACTGTATTGCAATGATTCTGGTCACTTGCTCACTATGATTTGTGTGTTTGCCTGTTTGATAATATGATACTGCATATTACTTTGACCTAATGCACTCTTATCAATGATGGTGGTTGTATTGTTTTGGATTTGTACTGATAAGTATCATGTTGTCTTACCCTAGGGAACTTTCCAGCAAATGTGGATCTCGAAACAGGAGTACGAGGAGGGAGGGAAGCAGTGCGTGGACAGGAAGTGCCCTTGATTGACCGCCAACAGCATGTGCTGCCTCCAGAACGCCCAACAACGTGTCTAGTTTAACCTTTTCCTGTGGACTCCCAAGGATGGTCGCTGTTTTTGAATAAAATAAAATAAAAATCGAATCTGTCTTTTATAATAAAAAAGAAAACATTAACTGTAACAAACCATGTCACATATACCATTGGGGTGAAAGGCTAAGTTCCTTTTTGACTCCATCTTCAGTATGTCATTTTCAGTTTGTTTATCGACTTTATATTTTGATCTCAAACTTCTTGACAGGTAAGAAACACTTGGTTAGTGTATGTGCCTTATCCAATGTGTTGTCAGGTGAATGTTGAAGCTTCTTGGAGGTGATCTAATGATGCCATTGAATCGCTGTCATTGAATTGCTCACTGGACAAGACAATCATTCACTGAAAATGAAATCTGTATTTAATTTCACTTATGTTTATATTTGATTGGCAATGTGCTGTCTTTTGAAAATAAAATTCATTTTTTGTTAAGTGATGTTAAATTATTGTTTTATGACTCTTGCAAGCATTCATTTTTCAGCAGAACAGATGCATCATTTTACAATGTGACATTCTCATCTACTGAAATCATTTCACAGGTTGTGGTTAGTTGGCACACAATCTCAAAGCAAACATATGGCAACAAATGAATGCAGTCTCATTTAATGAGGAAAATAATGACATTACATTATTTGTATTTTCTTGGGTTGGAGAAGCCTCTAGTGATGGCTCTACACATTCTGGTGAGAAGGGAGGGTTTGCGACTCTCGTCTTCAACTGGGAAGGACGATGCAATGTCATAATTTCCCTCTGGAGCCAAGTAGCCATGAGAATCTGTCATCGACTCTGCAAAGAAAGACCATCCAGTATGGGTGAGTGCAGTATGTCATGGGTAACAATTCAGAGGAGAGTACAATGTCCTTCCAAAATGAATTAGTTGAATGGTAAAGTGATAATGTCTTAGTCTTGACTGAGCAGCAACCTAAACAGCAGCAGGGCTTACCTGTAAAGTATACATCAGGGGAAGTGTTCTGAGGCTGGTGCTCCGTAGACTCTTGGGGACAGAGGTCCTTGCTAACTTCCTTGGAACCCTGGTTGGTGGGAAAAGGCACATAACTGAACATTTCTATATATCTTAAAAGTACAGTATATCAATTGCAAAAAGGCAATACAATGCTAAGAAGACTGAATTATATAAACAAATAATATCTCGTACAGTCAAAGGCAGTGTTATTCATGAAAGATGGACTTGTACCTTTGTGTTAGAGCATATCTTGCAAAACTTGGCCTTCTTGCTTTTCTTGGCCTTGTAGATGGGGATCTGCTCTCCAGTACTGCTGGTGGTATCCCTTACCAAATCCAACACCCCTTCTACAATGTCACTGGTGGCCATGCTAGTACCGGAATCAAAGGAACATTTGGCAGTGGCTTTGGTGATCATTTGATGATCTGAGCCAAGTGATAACGCGTCCATCATTTTGTTGACCAAAGCCTTCATGAGCTGATTCATTGTGTCACTATCCTCTGGCTTGCTCTGATTGAGTTGGATAGGAATGTCAATGCATGTAGAGGTGCTTGGTTCATTCTGGACTAAAACATCAAAGTTAATATTTTCATACTCATCTGACCCCTGTTTTAGGAAGCCCCTCACTGTCTCTTCAGCAAATATCTGGAGAAGCTGAGAGGAGAGCTTCCTGGATACGGCGCATTGTTCCTGTCCCCATTTCAGCCTTGAAAGAATGGAGTCAGAAGAACTTTTGGCTGCTGCCAATGTTAGGACCTGTGGAGTGCTGTGGCTGTCCTGAATGGCTATCACTTTATCCACAAATTCATGAGTGAAAATGTGGATGGTCCCAGTGGAAATTCTTCTTCTCAATTTCCTAACAGCAGATCGGAGGTCGTCAGGATGAGAAGCATCCTGTCCATCTTCCTGTGTGTTTTCAACACTTTCCACCATTTTGTCCACTACCACCCCAGCAACTTGCCTGACTTTGTCCACAAAGGGCGGGGGAAGTAAGTCCTCTGTGTGAAAGAAGTTCTCAATGATCGTGTTTCTTATAATGGGACATTCACTCTGAGCAGGCAACTCAGTGGGGATGGGAGTACCGGGTAAAGCAAAGTTCCATTCTGACTGCCTTGATTTTGAAGTAGGTGTTGGAGAGATGGAGGAGCGTGAAGAAGAGGTCTTTCTTGTCTTTTGGCTGTCAGCACTCCTACAGCGGATCGTGCCAATATCCTCCAGCATGGATCCTGAGAGCTCAGTGGTCGTTAAGACCTTTTCTGAGGACATGATTTTAGGTAGTAATTCATGCGGAATATCCACACAGGCATCTTTTCCACCAGGTGTAACACTGCTCTGGTTGACCTCAAGATGGCCGAGACTAGCTCTTTGTGATGCAGAACTGCTTTGATATGTAAAGATTTTGATTGAACCAAGTGTTGTGTCTGATCTTTGAAGATCTTTTCTGAGAAACTCCTTAATCTTACTTTGCAGACTGTGGTAGATGTTACAAGCAACAGACCAGATCCTTTTCTCAGAAACCTGTCCAGTGGTGAGCAGGGAGGTGCCAGATACCATGTCAGATGATTGGGTGTTCTGGTGGAGCTCCTGCAGGTCTTTCACCATGGTTTGTATAATATCAGTAGAGACGGTGGATGTAGATACAGACTGGAGGTGCTTATCTGTTTTACCTTCCTCCACAATGTTAAATGAGAGGACCTCACTCACTCCTTTCTCAGCTTTGGTTTGGAACTCATGACTTGAGAGTTTCTGGAGGCTCTTTGCTGAAAGACTATGGGAAGATGCAATGCCTTTGGAGGTTGTCGTGCTGCCACCTGGACTTACTGGAGAGGTTCGCTCAAGAGAATCTTGGAGACGTTCAAACATGTCTTCACATGGTGTTGGGGACCTTGACAAGGAGATGTCCTTCAGCTGAGACAGAACACCACCTACAAACACGTTGACCGCAAGGGACATATCAGATATTTTCTTTCCTACTGTGGAGGAGAAAGGTTCATTTGATATCTCGTCCTCGCATGAGGTTAAGATTGTTGTAATGAGCTCTTTGGTACTATTGGTCATTAGCGCCTCGTCTATTTCAGTCCAGAGAAGTTTTGAACTCTCACTGACACCCCTGTGTAGAGCCACTTCATGGTTCAAACTGGGAAAGTGAGGCACACTCTTTCTAGCTTGCCTCAAGTCCTGGCTTGCCAAACCTAGGTACTCCTCTGTCCCAAGATGTCCAGAGTCCTCTGTGGGTGTACGGCTGGACATTCTGCTCTGCATGTCTGACCTCCGCCGGTGAATGGTGAAGTCCTTTAATGTCTTCTTAATGTTGTTATATAAGCTAGTGGTAGCAGACCAGATCCTGCTCTGTAGCTTTTGTGCATTTTCCAAGAGGTCAGGTTCTCTCTGCTCTACCTCTGAGGGTTGTGCCAAGTTCTGCAGGTCTTCCACAAATGTGTCAATGATGGCAAAGGCAGCAGAATCCGCACAAATATCCTTTGACCATGTGCACTGGTTTTGAATGGAACCAGAACTGGACACTACAGAATAAGCAGGCTGTGCACTAGTTAAGCTACTAGTGGACTTTTTAACTAGGAACTCACTCACTGCTTGAGTGGCGTTTCTCTTGAATTCCTCACTTGAGAGTTTCTTCATGCAATCTAACAGACTGGTCAAAGAAGCTGTGGCCTTGCTGCCGATGATGTCCTCAATTTCAGAGGGGAACTCACATACTATTGGTGATGGGGTCCTGGAATGGGAGATATCCCCAAGCTGAGCCAGAACACCCTCTACAAATTGTTCTCTCTCAATAGAGAAGTCTGATCCTTTTTCTCCAACAGTGGATGGGTGGTCCTCATTTGACATCTCAGTGTTGTACAAGACCAGAAGCTCTGAGATGACTTCTTTGGTGCAAGTTGTCAGAAGGAGCTTGTTTTCCTCTGAGTCAGTTTGTGCCCAAATAAGTTTTGAGCTCTCACTTAGGCCCCTCCGTAGAGTAACTTCACCAGTGGACTCTGGTAACTGAGGCTCACTCTTGCTAGGCCTATATCTTCTGTCCAGGCATTGAAGAGGAACTGTCTCCTTACACTCAGCATGTGTGGTGTTGTCATCAGATGTGACAGTGCTCTTCAGAGCAAATCTCTGAAGCTTGCTAAAATAATCATTCAAGTTGTTTTGGATGCTGTGGTAGATGCGAACAGCAGCAGACCAGCCACTCTTCTGTTGGGGACTCTCTTCAGACTCGGCCAAGGACTTTATATCTGACACGAAAGCCTTAACAACTACTGAAGCTGCTGAGCCCACTGGGTGAATTGACTCTGTCTTTACAATGCCAGACAATGTTTGACTTGCTACAGCACCTGTTAACTCGGACTGAACGACTGAACTAGGAAAGCTCAAACTACTGACTTTTTTGAAAATAACTCCACTCACTGCTTGCATTGCTGATGTTTGAAACTCCCGGCTGGATAGTTTTTGGATGCTCTTAGACATGAGCGTGCAGGAGGATCCAGATTCACTAATATTGTGGCTGCTCTCGTATTTCCTTATCAGGGCATCAAGATCGTCAATGAAGCCACCATGCGATGCCAAAAATGTGATCTTGTCCTTCAGATCTCCCAGCAAATCCTGTTCGTTCTCGTCAACAAAAACCACCATTGTGTCAGAGATGGTGGTCATGACCTGCCCTGTTAGACTCTTGCTCTCTTGGTCAACTTTTTCAAGTTTAGCTGCGAGGTCTCTCACCATGCCCTCAGTCACCTTGGTCTGTGAGTCTCCCCTTACAGGTGTCACTAGAGAGGTTTGGCTTGTGGAGACACTCTTAATGGCCACTGAAACGGCCGACTTGACATCTTTAACCACTTCTGCCATTACAGCAGGGGTCATCTTCGGAGAGCCTGCGCTTCCAGATGGAGAATCAGATACGCATGCAAGTTTGGAGAGAGACCCTTGCAGGCTGTCCTGCACACAGGTGACGAGGGTGTCCTCTGAGAGACCTAAAATGACTTGTAGCTCAGAGTTGGTTGCCTTCTTCTGCACCTCAGACAGAGAGGTTTGAGACCTTGAACAAAACCCAGAAATCATCACAGTCAAACAAATAATATGTAAGGCTGTGATGCACGTTGTTCTGGTGGAGGTGTGTCAAACACATCTAATAATACAAATAATAATTTATTCAACTTTTATAGCGCTTTTCATTACAGAAAGAATCTCAAAGTGCATATGAACCATTGAAAACAATGGGAGAAAAGCTTCTGCCGGTTTGGAGAAGGAAAAAAACTTTGTGTGATCCTAGCCTGTATGCTTCTGTTTTAAAGTAAAATAATATGATAAAGTAGAGTACTTTTTTTGTATAAGTAATTTGTATTGACACTGGCTTGTAGATGGCAATATCTAACCTAAAAAATATCAAAATAGCTATAAACATCAAATACTGTTTAAGGACAATCACAAATACAAGGCAGTATTGAAGAATGGTTACGGACATACCTCATGGCCGGCATGGGCAATGGTTTTGGGCAGTAGCTTCCGCTGCCCAGACTGCGTATCTCCTTAGTCAGGTAAATCTCCTTGAACTTCAATTGTTGTGATTCCTGCTGTTCTTCCTCTTCTTGCTCCATACAGTTGGAGGAAGGGTAGGGAGTCGGGATGCGAAAGCTAGTGGAAGACTTTCGACTGCCTCGCCTCTTAGGTACACCAGCCTCAGTAAATCTCACACGGGACTTGGTGTTAGCCTTATCGTCCTCCAGACTGGTGACTGATGCTGTGAGAGAGCTCTGTGACAATGGAGAGGTGGCAGCATCTTGGATGCCCAGTAGTTCGTAAAGGCCTGGGATGATGATCTGCATCAGCTTGTCCGATAAAAACTGGACGATCCTCAGACACAAGCCGGCAAGCTGTTGTTTTGTCAGCTGTATTCCAGAAACAGAAGAAGGGTTTAAAATGTTGCATAGTGCATCTTTCAAAAGCTTATGAACAAGGTTAAACATTCAACAGAGTGGTCATGGTATTGTAAATAAGTTGTCACATCTTACCGGGTCATAAATGCCATCACGAATCGCACTCCATTGCCTGAAAACAATATTGTCAGAAATGTCGGTCAGTATCACGATGCACAGTAGAGTCATCAGATTAGACAATATTTTACACTCACTTTGTGGCAATTGTTTTGACAAAATTGTGGTGTGACGTAACTTTTCTCGCACTGGAAATGTAGTTGATGAATCTGTTTTCTTATAATCCTATTGCTTTCCAGGTTTGATAACAAAGAAAATAGAACATACTCCTCAGTTAGGTTCTGCAGGAAGTTGATAATCAGTGGAAAATACTCAAGATTTTTCACACTGTTGAGGCTCTCCTCTTCTGTGGTTTCCACAGTACTGCTCTGCTTCTGGCAGAAATAAACATTCTGTGTCTCAAATAATGGCACCAACAGAGTCAAATTTAACATATAAAAACAAATATCATACTGAAATAATTAGTTAGAGAGTGGAGGAGCATTGGCAATGTTGGACAAATTAAACAACTGCAACACAACAGGGATTGTTGTGGCACTTCAACATTGCCAATGACGGCATCAATATAACATTGGATTGATTTAATGTTGCAATATGAAATGACAAGGACAACTTACCATCTCATTGACAGCTTCAGAGGGCAGGGTGTCATCCACCACACAGACAGGCAGGTCTGGAGGCTGGGACAAGGCTCTATGGTCATAGCCAGGAGAGAATAGAAACAGCATCAGAGCAATCCCAATGGCAGGATCTAACCACTGGCTTCATGTTAAAGACTCACTTAGTAGTTAATATATGGCCACAAATAATGAGTGGTTCAAATAGATCTGCTCGGTTGATAGGCCTTACAAATGACTCCAAGAATGACGTCTGACCTGCCCCATAACAAGTGGAATCTTATTAGTTTTTCTCTCTTATCTCCACACAACAATCTTACTGGACAGAAGGTGAGTGACCTTACCTGACTGTCTCAGTGTCAGAAACATCATAGTCTTGTTGTTCTTTGTCCTCCAGGGACATCTCAGCTACAGCAGATGAGGCAAAGCCCTGGATGATCTCTGAAACTGAAAATAATGACTGTTTATGTGAACTGAACCACTTAGAGTTCAATGTGTCAAATCGGAGGGCCTGTTGTCTGGACCTCTGGCCGTCTCTATGGGGGTGCCACAGGGTTCAATTCTCGGGCAGACTCTATTCTCTGTGTATATCAATGATGTTGCTCTTGCTGCTGGTGACTCTCAGATCCACCTCTATGCAGACGACACCATTTTGTATACATCTGGCCCTTCATTGGACACTGTAACAAACCTCCAAACAAGCTTCAACGCCATACAACACTACTTCTGTAGCCTCCAACTGCTCTTAAACACTAGTAAAACTAAATGCATGCTCTTCAACCGAACGCTGCTTGCACCCGCCCACCCGACTAGAATCACTACTCTCGGCGGGTCTGACCTAGAGTATGTGGACAACTACAAATACCTAGGTGTCTGGTTAGACTGTAAACTCTCCTTCCAGACTCACATTAAGCATCTCCAATCAAAAGTTAGATCTAGAATCGGCTTCCTATTTCGCAACAAAGTCTCCTTCACTCATGCTGCCAAACATGCCCTAGTAAAACTGTCTATCCTACCGATCCTTGACTTCAGCGATGTCATTTACAAAATAGCCTCCAACACTCTACTCAGCAAATTGGATGTAGTCTATCACAGTGCCATCCGTTTTGTCACCAAAGCCCTATATACTACCCACCAATGTGACATGTATGCTCTTGTTGGCAGGCCCTCACTACATATTCGTCGCCAAACCCACTGGCTCCAGGTCATCTATAAATCACTGCTAGGCAAATCCCCGTCTTACCTTAGCTCATTGGTCACCATAGCAACACCCACCCATAGTCTGCGCTCCAGCAGATATATCTCACTGGTCATCCCCAAAGCCAACACCTCCTTTGGTCACCATTCCTTCCAGTTCTCTGCTGCAAATGACTGGAACGAACTGCAAAAATCTCTGAAGCTGGAGACTCGTATCTCCCTCACTAACTTTAAGCGTCAGTTGTCAGAGCAGCTTACCGATCACTGCACCTGTACACAGCCCATCTGAAATTAGCCCACCCAACTACCTCATCCCCGTATTGTTATTTATTTTGCTAATTTGCACCCCAGTATCTCTATTTGCACATTATCTTTTGCACATCTATCATTCCAGTGTTAATACAAAATGGTCACTATTTTGCACTATGGCCTATTTATTGCCTTACCTCCATAACTTACTACATTCGCACACACTGTATATATATTTTCTGTTTGTATTTTTGACTTTATGTTTTGTTTACCCCATATGTAACTCTGTGTTGTTGTTTTTACCGCACTGCTTTGCTTTATCTTGGCCAGGTCGCAGTTGTAAATGAGAACTTGTTCTCAACTGGCTTACCTGGTTAAATAAAGGTTAAATAAATTAATAAAATAAAATAATCTTAATGGATCCAATCAATTTTCTTAGTTTTCAGGAGATTTCATGTTTGACCAGCCCACTTTTTCACAAGGATAAACATGTTTTTTTTATTTAATAATATGCCATTTAGCAGACGCTTTTATCCAAAGCGACTTACAGTCATGCGTGCATACATTTTATTTTGTGTATGGGTGGTCCCGGGGATCGAACCCACTACCTTGGCGTTACAAGCGCCGTGCTCTACCAGCTGAGCTACAGAGGACCGCTATTTTGTATATTAGAACCAGTGCTTGACTTAGGCAGGAGCTCACCGGTGATGAAAACCATCACCTCAAATCTTCGACTGCTTGAGCTCCTGTTCCTCTTTTAGTATAAGCTCAAAAGTATTGTGGAACTCCTGCACCTAAATATAATAATAACTATAATTTATTATATTTGTAAAGTGCTTTTCATTACACAAGAATAATCTCAAAGTGCATAAGATAAAATAGAGAAACAGTTAAAAAATATATATATATGCAAATATAAATAGTACGGGCACCCAAAATGAGTACCGGCACCTTTTTCAGTCCAAGTCAAGCACTGATTAGAACATTTGGAATAAGAGAATGTTAGGAGGGTACCATGACATCAACAGACATATACCTTGTCATATAGAGACCATCTATAGACACATACTGTACCTTGTCAAATAGAGACCATCTATAGACACATACTGTACCTTTTCATATAGAGACCATATATAGACACATACTGTACCTTATCATATGGAGCCCATATCTATTTACCCCAGTAGGATGGGTGGTCTGGTTCAGGATCTATTTACCCCAGTAGGATGGGTGGTCTGGTTCAGGATCTATTTACACCAGTAGGATGGGTGGCCTGGTTCAGGATCTATTTACCCCAGTAGGATGGGTGGCCTGGTTCAGGATCTATTTACCCCAGTAGGATGGGTGGCCTGGTTCAGGATCTATTTACCCCAGTAGGATGGGTGGCCTGGTTCAGGATCTATTTACCCCAGTAGGATGGGTGGCCTGGTTCAGGATCTATTTACCCCAGTAGGATGGGTGGCCTGGTTCAGGATCTATTTACACCAGTAGGCTGGGTGGCCTAGTTCAGGATCTATTTACCCCAGTAGGATGGGTGGCCTGGTTCAGGATCTATTTACCCCAGTAGGATGGGTGGCCTGGTTCAGGATCTATTTACCCCAGTAGGCTGGGTGGTCTGGTTCAGGATCTATTTACACCACTAGGATGGGAGGCCTGGTTCAGGATCTATTTACCCCAGTAGGATGGGTGGCCTGGTTCAGGATCTATTTACCCCAGTAGGATGGGTGGCCTGGTTCAGGATCTATTTACCCCAGTAGGATGGGTGGCCTGGTTCAGGATCTATTTACACCAGTAGGCTGGGTGGCCTAGTTCAGGATCTATTTACCCCAGTAGGATGGGTGGCCTGGTTCAGGATCTATTTACCCCAGTAGGATGGGTGGCCTGGTTCAGGATCTATTTACCCCAGTAGGCTGGGTGGTCTGGTTCAGGATCTATTTACACCACTAGGATGGGAGGCCTGGTTCAGGATCTATTTACCCCAGTAGGATGGGTGGCCTGGTTCAGGATCTATTTACACCAGTAGAATGAGTGGTCTGGTTCAGGATCTATTTACCCCAGTAGGATGGGTGTTCTGGTTAAGGATCTATTTACCCCAGTAGGATGGGTGGTCTGGTTCAGGATCTATTTACACCAGTAGAATGGGTGGTCTGGTTCAGGATCTATTTACACCAGTAGAATGGGTGGTCTGGTTCAGGATCTATTTACACCAGTAGGATGGGTGGCCTGGTTCAGGGTCTATTTACATCAGTAGGATGGGTGGCCTGGTTCAGGATCTATTTACACCAGTAGGATGGGTGGCCTGGTTCAGGATCTATTTACACCAGTAGGATGGGTGGCCTGGTTCAGGATCTATTTACACCAGTAGGATGGGTGGCCTGGTTCAGGATCTATTTACACCAGTAGGATGGGTGGTCTGGTTCAGGATCTATTTACACCAGTAGGATGGGTGGCCTGGTTCAGGATCTATTTACACCAGTAGGATGGGTGGCCTGGTTCAGGATCTATTTACACCAGTAGGATGGGTGGCCTGGTTCAGGATCTATTTACACCAGTAGGATGGGTGGCCTGGTTCAGGATCTATTTACCCCAGTAGGATGGGTGGCCTGGTTCAGGATCTATTTACCCCAGTAGGATGGGTGGTCTGGTTCAGGATCTATTTACACCAGTAGGATGGGTGGTCTGGTTCAGGATCTATTTACACCAGTAGGATGGGTGGTCTGGTTCAGGATCTATTTACACCAGTAGGGTGGGTGGCCTGGTACAGGATCTATTTACAGCTAGGGGAGTTCAAGTTCCAAGATCACATTTTATTTCTATGGATTAGCCCATCTGACAAGTGTAGGTTGTCCAGTAAAAATCTCAAACAAATAAGCTTCCATTTCTATTAAGATGATCAGTCAGATTCTGTGGTCAACGTGAATCTGTGAACAGTCTTGTAGGTGATGCAATAGCTGCAGGCCATAGAGCTCATGGCCAAGGTGAGTTAAGCGGCTACAGAGTGGATTCCTGTATGTCCATGCTGCACATAGCCTACCCCAATACACTACTTGACCTAGTAAACAAGCCTAAACACTGCAAGTAAGTTGCCCCTATTCACTGTTAAAGGGGTCAGCGATCACAGCCAGAAGCCTACTACTACCAGCGGGCTACAACTGTTCAGTTCTGTTGTCTAATTTAAGGACATCTATGTGACATTTATTTTATTTTATATCAAGTATGCCCAACTCAGCTTGAAGGTGTAGGCCTATGGCTACTACATTTGACCATATTAACCAAAGCATAATTTCCCCTTGCCTATGTCCTTCAAAATACTGCAAGCTGCAGGGCTATAGAAATAATGACTATGAAGTATAGCATTCAAAGACATGATTCCATACCTTATTATTGGCTTCCATTGGAGGTGCAATTCACTCCTTTTGACCAGTAGGTGTGGTCATCATTTCCAGAGCAAATGGGCAACAGCTCTACACACACATATTTAACTGTCTGTTTTCATTACATCATCAGCTATCTTTGTTACATCACAATGCCAGCTGCCTAAATCTGGCACATTTACAGAAATACAGTGCATTGTCCCTGTCAAACACATTTTATAAAACAATTCAAAAAATGTCCAAAACAAACAGTGGCTGAAAAAGGACTAATTTAGTCAGTTTCCAACAGTATGACTCAAGTAAATGTGAAATTCACCCAGTAAAAGTATTTGGTTTGAAAGTATCAAAAGTAAATGTAATTGCTCAAATATACTTAATTATCAAAAGTAGAAGTATAAATCATTTCAAATTCCTTATATTAAGCAAAGTAGACGACACAATTGTGTTATTTTGTAAATTTAAGGATAGCCAGGGGCATACATTCAGACATCATTTATAAACGAAGCATTCGTGTTTAGTGAGTCTGCTAGATCAGAGGCAGTAGAGATGACCAGGGATGTTCTCTTGATAAGTGTGTGAATTAGACCATTTTCTGTACTGCTTTTGGGTGTCAGGGAAAATGTATGGAGTAAAAAGTACATTATTTTCTTTAGGAATGTAGTGAAGTAAAAGTTAGTTGTCAAAAATATAAATAGTTAAAAGTACAGATACCCCAAAAAACTACTTAAGTAGTACTTGAAATAATTTTCACTTAAGTACTTCACACCACTTTACACAAACAAACCTATTCTAATGTCTCTTGTAGGGTTTTCACCATTGACCATTCCTGTAATGGTATCGAAGTTCAAGTGTTGAAGGTGTACAACTCGAACATTTACGTTAGACAACGTTCACTTTCATAATTATAGTTTATCACACTTGTCTGAGTAGTCAAAAAGGTATGAAAAAGATTCTGTTCAGAATACCTGCAGTGACATAATTAATGGAAAGGGCTTGCAGCAGTCCAAAAGTTAGATTGATTAATATTTATTCACCCACAATTTATTCTTGGTGCAATCTTTCAAATTGAAAATGTTAAGTTATGTTCAAGGATATTTACATTTCTGTGGTTTAATCACTTTAATATTAATAACCATATAACCAAAGTCAAGGCATCACGATACAGAGGAAGACATACAAATGCTACAGTCTACCAACATCAAATAAATGCTGATGACAGACATATTTATGCAAAAAACAGGGGGTAAATTAATGTAGGTACAGTCACAAGCTCCAATCAATGGCAGAAGGGAGAATGATGTTTATTGGTCATTAATGGTCTCATGATGACTGGGACTTCATTTGGGGAAACTTCTCCTGGAGCCTGGCTTGCTTTTGTCTCTCTCCATTCTGCTTTCTGGTCTTAGCGCGGAGGTGTTTCTCTAGACGAAGCCTGGACAAAATAAACAAGACTACTTGTGACAACAGACGAGTGCTTTTGCCCTTGTGAAGTTGAAGCTGACCCAGGACAAGAATTATGCAAGATGTGACATGGTTAAGTGTTCTGCTTGGAGGTTCTCATATTGTACACTGTTATAAATGAATACATGAACGATTTTTCTTACCTCATGTGGGGGGTGACAAATAGGGGTGTGTAGAAACGTTTGCGTTTGTATCTCTTGTTCATGTACCAAGGAAGGGCATGCTCTCTAAACCGGTACCTAGAAAAAATACAATGATCGCAGAGTGAGCAATGACATTGAAACTTGCCATTTGACACCTATGAAGTAACGTTTAATATTTTTGGGAGAACTGCCTTTGTTTGCCTTGAGTACTTAATTCCTCAACCCTGATAGTTTTCCAAAGATGGTTCACTTCACTCAATGTAGGCCATGCTAACATGCTACATTTTGTACAGTATGCTTGAAAATTGAATGGGAAACAAGGACAGTAAGGTGAAAGCAACATTTGGTTGCGGAAAGAGATATTGTATCAAGGTGGGTTGTTGTGTATGGAAGCTCCGTACCAGTAGACCCGTCCAAAGACGTCCTTTCTCCAGGCCCCCGGCCTTGCTCTCTCCTGGCCTGTCTGGAGCAGACGGAGGGCGTCTTCTCTCTCCTTCACCACTGTGTCCAGTCTGTTCATGGACCTTTCAATCTGAGGAGATAAGGGTTGTCTCAATTTCTGTGTGGACTGGAGTATTTGCATTCATATTTAAGGTACTAGTTGGACCAATAACACTTCTCCAAAAGAGACCCATTGATAGCTGTCATTGACATTAATCCTTCCCCTTTGAAATTCTTGTATTACTACCTATGCCCTACTAGAAATATTTCCAGATCTTTAATAATGGTGAGCCTGGTCATCTCTACCTTCCTAAGTCGATCTGGACTTGGCATCTGAATTCTTTGCCTTTTGGACTCCTGCTCAGTTGTAAGCAGCATGTTCTTCTCTTTCAGGAGCACATACCTGTGAGAACATTGAACACAAGATTTTCTCGATTTAGTTCATGGACATTCATTCTGGAGGTCAGTGTTCTTTATTCAATGAGCACGGTTACATGCACACGATCCGATTATTGTGATAGTCAGGTTAATATAATAGTATGTTTAAAATGTTTACATGCTTTGGCCGAAGAACGATTTCCTTAATAATCCTGTTTACATGGACACATCCGAAAAGTGCAGAAAATTGGCAATCAAAATAAACGTTCTACCACAGCGACCATGTTATTTTTGTGAAGACTATTTGATTCTGAGTTCGGACATATATATAAGATACATCCTTTCAGGTTTTCTGAACGCACTTCACTCGCGCATAAGAGGGAGGCTTGCGCTACCTGGTGCTGGCACATGCACAGATCAAACACACTGCTGGAATGCCAATTAAATCTGTTTACATGTCCTAATCATTTGAAAGATTAATCAGAAAACCAGGTGTTTTAATCAGCGTATGCTTACTTCGATTATGACCTTACGCAGATTAAGATAAGCAGAGTAAGTTGTTTACATGGCTAATGCCATGCTCGGCCTTCTGCCATAATCAGTTGAATATCTAATTATTATTATGCATGTAAACGTAGTCTATGTCAACATTCCCCACATACCAGAGCTTGTGTAAGTCTTCATTACTTTTTGTCCTTAGTTGCTTGGCCGTCCATGGTGCTCCTACAATTAATCATGAAAATAATCAATGCCACACTCAGATACTTACCAGTCCCTTAGTCAGAGGAAATGTATTTAAAAAATAAAGCTTTGCTTTGGTAATCAGATATACTATCAAAAGGCTAACCTGACTTCACGGTTGACTCCCCCCAGTTTTCAGGTATGTCGAAAAACTCCTCAAGTCCTCTCCTGCTGATGGTTGTGTGCAGAGGCCGACACTGACGGACAAGGCCCACATGACAGTGCCAACTTAAGCTCAAAAGAGGAGATATTAACCTAACAGAGGGGACCACAGCAGATTCAGGTACATTGTAAAATACATTCATCAGCATCCTAGCCATTGCATTACATATCAGCCATAGTGGTGATAGCCCTTGATCGTGACTCTCAGTTCCATTACATTACACATGAGAGTCATTGGACGAAGGCATCATCTGTACAGGGGAGTTTTGTTAAGTGCCCCTACGCTCAATCTGAATATTAACATGCATCGCTTGCGGTACGGTTTTGGAAGCATAAAACATAAGATTAAATTGATACACACCTTTTATAGGGTAAGGGTTCGCACACGGTCATATGTTACTGCACGTGTTTACAGAAGACAGACCGAAGACAGAGTGACCACCTGTGCTAATTAGCTATCTAACACGCGCTGAACACCTAAGGGGAGGACGGCTCATAATAATGACTGGAATGGCGTCAATGGAATGGTATCAAACATATGGAAACCATGTGTTTGATACCATTCCATTCAATTCATTACTATGATCCCGTCCTCCTCAATGAAGGTTCCACCAACCTCCTGTTGTGTATATTTTGCATTTGTGAAATTATTTTGATGTGATATGAAAGTAAAGGTCTTTATGTTTTTAGAACAATATCGCAATTGAGAATCGATTCACATTTAGATCGAGTATTTGGCTGTTTTGGCTGCCAGAGCCTGTCTAAATAACATACGGTCCTTGGACCTTAAGGATAAACTGTAGGGTTTAGATTCTTACCTGTGAGGATAAGACTGAGATTTGGTCAAAGTGAGATTAGACTGTTGAGCTGATAAGGGTGTAGATATCCTAAAAGCGTTTTGAAACTGTCTGCAAAGTGTCAAAACACGTCCTGTTGAGGTCGCCGCCATCTTTGCAATAATGCTCTACCCAGAATGCATCATAAAAAATAAAACATAAATACTTTTAGCAATTTGAATCATGAACAAAAAAAGCAACATCTTGGAAATTAAATATTTACATAATTCTTAATTTTGTTATATTCTTATTCGCATACGTTTTCCCTTAGTAAATATGTCTGCTTCGACTTCACATGGTCAGACCAATCACAGAAGCGTCTGCCAAACTGCTTGCCCTCAGTAGCGATGGTGGGCATGAGTGTCATTCGGTCTGCTGCTGCTTTTGCAGCCAGGCTAAATCCTCTAAAATCGGGGAATTCTGCGGTGAACTTGCTCAGCAGAACTGCACTACGCACAGATAAAGGTAAATGGTATTCCACGTTTCCAAAATCTACAATACCTTCCCTCGTGGTGGCTATTTCTTATTGTGACCTTGTGGCTAGTCCTGTGTGACTGGCTAACGTTAGCTTCTTACTAGCGTATTCTTATCATTGCTAGTTGACTAGCTAGCCATGGCATGACCTAGTTAGCCATCCTTCTCTCAAGTGTCTCTTCTTGCCACCACTGCAAACGACAGCATACAAATCTAATTTTACTGATTGATTTTCATAGTTTTCAAATGACTTGTGATGCTCATTAACTTTACATATTGTTGACCTGTCTAGTGGACATACGATAGCTGCTAAGCTAGCAGCCAAGCTAAATACACACAGCCTTGCTAGCACAACACACACCAAAACAACTACATTTTCTTTCACCCAAGTGTCACAGTGATGACAGAATTCATTTTTGACACCACACTGACCAATAGTTAGCGAGTTGAATGGCAACTAACTAGCAACCTTTCCAACCGTTTCATCTCTAGGTGCAGCCATACAGTAATGCAATGCTTTATATGCCCACATAAATAATGTTTTGCAGTGTTTAACATCCCTGAAAACGTTGCTTTGCAGTGGCAGTCCGCTGGGGAAGCCATGGGAAGCAGATGTTTATCATCAAGCCCACTGGCTTCTATGACCGGAGGTTTCTGCAGTTATTGGTAAGTATTTAGTTATTCAGACTAGAACTAGTTCTCTGAAAACTCTAGGCGCCATTCTGCCTTCTCTCTACAGTTTTCAGCGGTTAGCTTCTACCAATACTGGCTCATGTGAACTACAATCCCGATGCTGTGTTTTAACGTTTAGAAACGTCAACTTTTGAAACATATGGACCTTATCTTTCATCAGGTAGAAAGAATCCTTCAAATAAAAAAAACAGTAGCAGTTGTGCACAGATCCATACAGCTATGGGTGCCTCCATCCAACGAAAATACACTTCCAAAGTTACGCTAACATACAGTTGTTCGGAGCACGTTAGATAGCTAATTAGCATAGGCGGTCGCCTCTGTTTTCCCGTAAACAAGCGCTGTAACATGGCGATATGGCCGTGTGGGAACACTAACTATATGAATTTGTGTATCAATTTAACCTTTTTGTTTTTTGAAAATTATTTCTCACTGATATGAAAGATATAAGTTCCTTATGCTTCCAAAACCGTACCGCAAGCAGTGCGTGTTAATGTTCAGACCAAGCGTCGGGGCTCTTAACAAAACTCCCCTGTACAGAAGACGCCTTTGTCCAATGACTCTTATGTGTAATGTAATAGAACTGTGAGTAATGATCAATGGCTAGACTAGAACTAGCCTACTTACATCACTGCAAAATATTTGGTTTACGGACAACTGTCCACCGCACTGAACCACATTATTTACTAACTTATTCACACCCCACATTTATTTCTAGAAATTCTACGTCCTGCTTACTGGAATCCCAGTTGCGGTCTTTGTGACATCCGTGAATGTGTTTGTCGGTAAGTGTGTGTCGATATTTCCATTGCTCAGAAATGATCAATTTTTATGGAGAAACATAGTAAAAGAGAAATGAACCTGAATATATTATTCTATTTTTTAAGGTGAAGCTGAGCTGGCTGAAATTCCTGAAGGCTATGAGCCTGAGCATTGGGAGTATTACAAGGTACTACGAGCCCTTTGTTGTCGCCGTTCTATTCGCTCATCACAATCCATGCCTTATTAGCATCTATCAGAAGTGACTAGTCATTCTATCAGAAAATGAAATGGCATCATCTAGCCTATAAACCTAAACAACAAATTCACATTGGAGATGCCACTGGAGATTGCTTACAATCAGACTTGGGCAAAGTTGATTGTGAGTCCTATTGTTGTCCCTGTATTTGCAGCATCCTATCACGAGGTGGATCTCGCAGACCTTCTATGACTCCCCAGTGAAAGACTATGAGAAGATGATGGCTCTGATCCAGATTGAGGCTGAGAAGGGCGAGATGAGGTGAGTGTCACACAGTGATGAGCTGCCACTGACTGCATAGCCTGTATCTAATTGGTTTGCCGCCCTAACATTTAGGTCCTCTTGCAACATAGTGCTTGCATTCCTTTCTTCTTTTATTGTATGAGGAAAATATGAAAGAAAACAGACTGTGGACAATAAACGCCTTTTAATCTCTACACATTCATTTGTCAACAAATCCTATGTTTTTGTATCTGCAGACTGCAACAGCTAGAGGTGCGTAAGCAAATGAGAATGAAGGGAGATGGACCCTGGTTCCAGATTGAGACACTGGACAAGAATCTGATCGACAACCGCATCAAATCAACGCCTGACAATTAAACCAACCAGTCCAACCACCCAGTCTAAATTGTCAGTGCCACGTATTGATGGATCACTGTTTGTATATTATTTTCTTCATGACTAAAATAAAGTAAATGTCAATACTTTGAAATGCAATTTTTCAACTTTAGGCATCTATTTTCTCTTAATGGGCTTCACAATTACAATTTTGTTTAGCAGGGGTTTTGCTAAACGTTTTGCAACGGTACATACTGAACGGCCCATTCTCTCGCAGTGGTGCATGACTGTCTTTCAACCACATTTGAGGTATTGCTCCCATTTGGTGGCAGTGGCAGGTTGTGATGTAATTACAGCGTTCACTGACAGGTGGTTTAGGCTTCCTTTATACCTAAGATAAGTGTCTTTGTCATAACCCATGAATGTCCACTGGATGGCAGTGCTGTGAGGACATTGCTTCCTCTCCCTCATTCTGCATTGAAATGAAAACAGTGAAAGCACTATCATGTAATGATAGATACTCTCAGGACATTTGCTTTAACTTGTCCACCTCTTTTGTAACAATGCAGATTAGGGAAGCCACTTTGGACTTTTGAGGTGCATCCTTGGACTGATTACAGGAGTTGGGGTAAAATTAAATGACAGGAAACAGACTGTGGTGAAAGTTTGCAAGCATGAAACGGCTCAATGGAGCAGGAGCTTATCTCCTGTTTCTGTAGCGTGAGGCAGCTTGATGAACAAGTACACCCCCTGGACAGGACGCGTGTCTATCACAGGGCCTTACAACCAGTCTAGGTCAACCTATTCATGTCCTCTAGCCTTAGTACAATATAAAAATGTGCCACAAATTCTGTTTGGTGTAATTTGGTGTCAGCATAGTTAGTGTCTAGACAGGCCACATGGACATTTTAAGAAGGAAATTATATATCATACCTCCAGTATCTGTGTTGGGATCATAATTACTTTATGTATTTTGAAATACATTTCAGAGTTAAATTGTTTAAAAGCATATTGTTATTTTACCTATTCTGAGCCCAAATATATAACTCAACTCATTGGTGTGCACGGATGTCTCATGGTAGGGTGGGGTATGCAAAATAGGTCATCATTAAACACTTTCTGACCACTTCTACCATGGGCAAACATATATGGAAGGTTTCGTTTAAATAAAAAAGGCCGCAGTCAAAGATTGATTAAATTCATAAGCAAAAGGTTTAAAAAAAACAAAATTGTAAAGTTCCCACAAACTAAACATTCAATCAAAGAAACCCCAGGACATCAGACTAAACAACAATATCGTCAAAGAAGTGTATTTCTAAATAAATTCAGAACGGTTGGCCTTTCCCACCACGTGTTACTTGTCGTAATAACAGGTTCCGCTACAAATGCCGCGTTCACGTGCTAGTCGGAACTAGGAAACTCGAAAACTTCCCACTTACTAACTGGTTGTAATTAATCACGTACCGCGTTCAAAGAATTAGCAAGTCGGACATTTCTGAGTTTCCTAGTTCCGACTAGCATGTGAAAGCGATATGAAGACACTGGCTCGAATCGAGGTTTTGCCTTTAGAATTCGAGAAAATTAACAACTAAGGACACATTTTCCACTGCTCCCATTGACTTGCCAAACGGTTTGGTCTGCTTCGCCACGCGTTCCCGGAAGTATCGCGATGTGTTCCCCTGGGTTTGAAAACTCTGTGCTTATGCCATAGATAGAACAATGAGCCAGATATTTCACCGGATGTATAAATGTGACGCATATGTTGGCGCTTCTACTCACTACCAAAGATGGTGATGAGAGGAAGCCCAGTGGCCGGCAAGTGGGAGAAGATGGCGCGAGATGGATTTTGGCCGATATTATGCTAATTTTCTCATCGATGAAACATTTGATCGCCATACAGATTTCTGTTTCCAAAACTAGAGCCTGTAACAAACAGAGTGGACTGTATTTTGTAGACTTTACCCGTTGCCAAAGTAAAAAAAAAAATGCGTTGTTTAGAGGGCGAATTGAGTTACTGCACACGCGCACTTCACAGAGTAGGCGTTCCCCAACGGAAATATGCAAATACATTTTAGAACGCGCCAAAAGGATCTCAGCGCACTATGATTTATTTGCTCCCATGGAAACGACAGGTTTTGGTCTATCTTGGGTTAGATATAAACATCTTTGCTTATACTGTACCTTATTATTATTATTATATTTAACAGGGAATCCCATTGAGACCAAGGCCTCTTTTGCAAGGGAGCCCTGCACACAAATGTACAATGTTTACAATTCCAAGGCAATAAAAACATACAATATTTACAAGAAATGTGAAAAACAAACACATTCCTCAGTAAAACAGTCATCAACCAGCCTGAACTGCCCTAGTGGCACCAAAACATCCAACCTTAGAGAGTTCTTGAGATCATTCCACAAGTAAGGTGCAAAAACACTAAACACAGATCTACCTAACTAAGTGGAGACCGAAGGGATCTCCAGAGTTAGCCAACCCTGTGATTGGGTCAACTTCATATTCATCATCTCCAGCACCACCCCAACATCAACATATGTGAAAATGGCGCGTTTCTATGTTTTGTAGTAAAAAAGAGGAAGATAAGTGTTTCCAATTACATCATTGGTGTGCATCGTTTGATTTGAACCAATTATGAGGAGGCATTGCCTACTAATTGTCTACTAATTGGTTGATGATGTCATTGGAAACACTTATCTTCCTCTATCTTTTTTACTACAACACATATAAATGCGCCATTTTCACACATGTTGATGTTGGGGTGGTGCTGGAGATAATGACTTTGAAGTTGACCCGATCACAGGGATCCACTGAGTTAGGTATATCTGAGTTTAGTGTTTTGAAATGTCCCTTTAACATTGAAGTAAGGTATGCTTTGCACAAGAGGGTTCTATAAAAAAAGAGAGAGCAGGCTGGATTTCTTTATATATTGTTTTTATATATATTGTTCCAGACAGTTATTAAGATTTGAACATGTTTAAGATCTGAGAAAGAGAGAACACTGTAAAATGACTCACTCTCAAGCCTCCATTGAATTTGCTTATACTAGATTTGCTCTAGGGGTGTGTGTGTGAGAGAGAGAGAGAGAGAGAGAGAGAGAGAGAGTGGATTTCTTTAGATATTGTTTTATGTTTTTATAAAGCTATATCAGTGGTGATTTTAGCATTTAAATCTTGGTGGGACAAACGAAAAAAATTTTTTGGGGATGCATGCCAGCAAAGCTACTATACAACACAACACTAAACAATACATGAATTGCACTATAACGGTGACAAACTGTGTCCACAAACTGTAAGGGCCTACATAAAGCTGTCCCAACAGCAGATTACCAACAGCAGTCCCAACACCTTACCACTGCTACACCTGGCTATCAGCGGAGCCTTGTTTGGCAGCGAAACAGTTCATTCAGCTTCGTTTACTGCCTTTTAAAAAAACATAGCTGATATGGCTGACTTGCTTAAACAGATGTGGTTTCTACTGACAATTGATATGTTCAAACTTTGGCATAAGGGGACGACAAGCAGATAAGAGGCTATCTGTAATTTTGATTAAGATATTAATGAGCGAGCTAGGACGGACGTAGTCAAAATAACTATTTGTTCAGCACTTTTGAAATGTACAGCGACAGAATTCAGAACATGGCCCGTTTTTATTATTTTTATTATGATTTATTTCTATTTTCTTTTATTAGTAATTTATTTAATTTTTTTAGCCTTTTTTCTATTTTTTCTTTTTAGTTTTTTTTAGGGGGCATATCAGCTTTACTATTGCAGATATTGTAACTTCCATCAATGTAATTGTCTGCATCACTTCCAACATGGGCCGTTCTTACAGTGTTCTCCCTCTACACCAAGTCAGAACAGTAGGATAAATAAAGGGGGCATATAAGCAGACAATGAAAGCTCTTACAATATTAGATGATTACATTTCTCTAAAACAGGTTATAGGCTACATGTTCACCACCAAGTCAGAACAGTAGGTGAAATTATGAGGGGAAAATAGACCAAATGATTAGGGTGAGGCACATGGGCTACTAACAGCTTACTACACAACATACACTTAGTATTACTTTCTTAGCTACAGTATACATATCCCTCTGGAATATTACATTATTTATGCAGCAGCGTACAATACATTTTTGGACTCACCTTGTTGTGCTGTGCTCACTTGAACAGGAAGGTGGCGCGGAGGTCCTTTGTGGGCAAATTTTGTCATCAAACTTTGTCATCAAAGTTTAGCATTTTATGGATTTATGGTGCTTTCAAGACAACTGGGAACTCATGATGACGTCAGTGATCTTCAGGTCGTAGCTCTAGAAAGAGGCCTGAGTTCCCGACTTACATTTCCGAGTTGGATGACCGTTCAAAACTTATTTTCCCAGTCGGAGCTCGTTTTTCAGAGTTAACAGTTGTTTTGAAGGCGGCAGAAATCAAGATGTTTACATGATCAGTCCAATCAAAGCTACTGTAGATATAACGTCATTTTACGTCATTTTATCTGTGGCCAATGACCTTGAGCCTTCTTGGATGGGCACTTCTAATGTAACTGTCACGCCCTGGCTCTAGGGACTCTTTTATGTTGAGCCAGGGTGTGTAGAGTCTATGTTTTGTGTTCATTGTTTCAGTTTCTAGTTCATGTGTATCTATGTTGGCCGGGGTGGTTCTCAATCAGAGGCAACGAGAATCAGCTGTTGCTTGTTGTCTCTGATTGGGAACCATACTTAGGCAGCCTGTTTGGCACAGTGTATTGTGGGATCTTGTTCCGTGTATGGTTAGTGTTTGTTACCAAGGACTTCACGTATCGTTTTGTTGTTTTTGTTCGTGTGGTGAATATAATAAAGTATGTTCGCATTCCACACTGCGCATTGGTCTACTCCTTTCGACGATCGTGACAGAAGATCCCACCATAACAGGACCAAGCAGCGTGTCCAGGAGCAGACAGCCTGGACTTGGGAGGAGATATTGGACGGGAAAGGGTCCTGGACTTGGGAGGAGATCCAGGCCGGTATGGATCGCCGTCCGTGGGAGGAGACGGTGGAGGCGCGCCGTAGAGAGGAGCAACGGCGCCAACCGGGCCGACGTCGGACACGCAAGAGGCAACCCCAAGAAATTTTTAGGGGGGGGCACACGGCATGGACGACGGGGCTGCTGGAGGCAGCTACAGGGCGAGTTTGGGGATTAGGAGGCCACCGGGTTTGGGGGGCCGGAAGGGAGGTTGGCGGAGCCTAGAGGTAGAGCAGAGCCAACTCCCCGTACTCAGGCTAGGCAGCGTGAGACTGGGCAGGTTCCGAGATATGCGGAGCTGCGTACTGTGCCGCGAGTGGTCCGGCACAGTCCGGTACGTCCTGTGCGAGCACCACGCACGTGTCGTGCTAAGGTGGGCATGCAGCCAGGACGGAGTGTGCCGGCTCAACGCTCGTGGCCTCCAGTACCCCTCCTCGGTCCCAGGTATCCTGCGCCAGTGTCACGTGCTGTTGTGCCAGTACGTGTACACAGCCCTGTACGTCCTGTGCTGATGCCTCACACAGAGTGTGTTAAGATAGGCATTCAGCCAGGACGGGTTGTGTCAGCTCTTCGCTCCAGACCTCCAGTCTGTCTCCACAGCCCGGTCCGGCCTGTTCCTGCCCCTCGCACCAAGCCAATGGTGTGCGTTGCCACCCCGGTCCGGCCTGTTCCTGCCCCTCGCACCAAGCCAATGGTGAGCGTCGCCAGCCCGGCCCGGCCTGTTCCTGCTCCCCGCACCAAGCCAATGGTGCGCGTTGCCAGCCCGGCCCGGCCTGTTCCTGTCCCTCGCACCAAGCCTATGGTGCGCGTCGCCAGCCCGGTCCGGCCTGTTCCTGCTCCCCGCACCAAGCCTATGGTGCGCGTCGCCAGCCCGGCCCGGCCCGTTCCTGCTCCCCGCACCAAGTCAGTGGTGCGCGTCGTCAGCCCGGCCCGGCCCGGCCCGTTCCTGCTCCCTGCACCAAGCCAGGGGTGCGCGTCGTCAGCCTGGTCCGGCCCATTCCTGCTCCCCGCACCAAGCCTGTGGTGCGCGTCGTCAGTCCGGCACAGCCCGTGCCCGTTTCACCGGTGCCTGGTCAGGTACCGGTCAGCTGCTCCACACCAGAGCCTAAGCAATCCGCTCCACCGATGTCCAGCTCCAGCCAGCGGGGCCAGACCAGACCAGGGGCACTACGGGGGGGTTATTAGAGGGTGGTGGTCACGCCCGGAGCCGGACCGCCTCCGAGGAGGAATGCCCACCCGGCCCTCCCCTGTTCGGTTTATGTTGGCGCGGTCGCAGTCCGCGCCTTTGGGGGGGGGGGGGTACTGTCACGCCCTGGCTCTAGGGACTATTTTATGTTGAGCCAGGGTGTGTAGAGTCTATGTTTTGTGTTCATTGTTTCAGTTTCTAGTTCATGTGTATCTATGTTGGCCGGAGTGGTTCTCAATCAGAGGCAACGAGAATCAGCTGTTGCTTGTTGTCTCTGATTGGGAACCATACTTAGGCAGCCTGTTTGGCACAGTGTATTGTGGGATCTTGTTCCGTGTATGGTTAGTGTTTGTTACCAAGGACTTCACGTATCATTTTGTTGTTTTTGTTTGTGTGGTGAATATAATAAAGTATGTTCGCATTCCACGCTGCGCATTGGTCTACTCCTTTCGACGATCGTGACAGTAACTCTATGGCAGCACCCAAGGGGCTTGAATTTTCGAGCTCTACCCTTAGATTTGGCAGTGACTAGTGTCCCCATGAGTGACAGAACACTGAGCCAATCACGGCGCAACTAGAGAACATTACCAACCCCTACGCTCTGTATTTTCCGCTGGCTGCCCCACCACCACAGAAAGCACTGAGCTGGGCTGAAACACCTGCTTTTTGGAACTGCCTTACTGAAGAAAGCAAAAAAGAGACCATGTTTGTATATGGCTTTATTAACTCAAATATAGATTTTTTACATTGTTTGCAAACTGATATGTGACATGTATTAATGCCAAAATAACATGCAAAACAGGCAACATTTTTATTTTATTTTTGCTAACAATGTGGGGCTCAAAACAGGTGGGCCTCTCACCTGCCCTGAATGACGAGTCGCCACTGAGCTATATATTGGTCCAGGCTATATACAATGCAGTTCTCCATTGAGTTGCATTGGATTTGCTTATAATAATAAATAATATGCCATTTAGCAGACGCTTTTATCCAAAGCGACTTACAGTCATGCGTGCATACATTTTTTAAAAGAACAGTAACCCCTTGTGTCCAGAGACTAAATATAGTACAATATCACAAACTTACCTTGTAGACAAACACTTTGTCCATCAGTAAGCTTATTATGGACATGAATGGGTTAATACTGAGTGTGAAGTGGTCCCATTTTACAGTCTTTGTTCATATGCCTCGGCTCGGGATCGAACTCCCAACAGTCCAATCACTCTAACCACAAGGCCACTGATTTGGTAAAAGTGTGTGTACACCTAATATTGATAAGATGCAGACTTGTGGTAGAAAGATAGCATGTTTTTTTCTTCTTCTTCTTTTTCTTCTTCTTCTTCTTCTTCTTCTTCTTCTTCTTCTTCGTCTTCTTCTTCTATGATATCATGGCGGTCCGCAAACAAACGTTTAAGGTGCATGCCGCCACCTATTGTGCTGGAGTGTGCGATCAATCATGGTCTTCCTAATTCTGTACTACTAAGAAAATACAATTTAAAAAACAAATAAATCCCTACTAACTTCTACCACACCCTCCTCCTCCCCCCAAAACCACTCCAAAAACCAATGTGTAGCCTACTCTAGCATTTCCATTTGAACTTGAACAGAGGATGGTCCTCAGGGGAAACAGTAAGGGGGTGTAGCTATTTGTGTGGGTGGTTTTATCAATCAAGTGGGTGGGACCCCTCGCTTGAGTCAAACCATTCAGTGCGGGACTGCACGTATGTAAAAACAACGATACAATTCTTAAGCAAGACACACGCAATTGGAAAGAGATTATTGATTACATTTGTATAGAGGATAGCCCTCGCAGATGTCAAGACCTTTAATATATATATATATATATATTAATATATGAGTTCCTCCTCCGTTATGTTTTCAGCGTCATATCCCCCGTCGCTGGAGGAATGTCGAGACCGAATGATTTAAAAATAGCATCATCTCTCCTCTGACAGCCTTCTCTAGTGACTCCCATAGCATTGTGGTGCGAGAAGCAGGAATGCGAAGATGGCTGCAGATTTAGGAGAGCTGCTGGTCCCTTATATGCCCACCATCAGAGTTCCCAGAACAGGAGACAGGGTTTTCAAGAGCGAATGTGCCTTTTCCTACGATTCTCCCGTAAGTGTCTCCCAGTATTATGGGGTGTTTGTGTGTTCCAAGCTGTCCTTACTCATCCCGTAAGCTGCCCTAACACACGTGAATAGCTGCGCAGTTTTGTGGCAGGATCTGGGGCTTCCATTGCCACCATTCTCTTGAACTTGAGAAAAATAAATAATGAAATGTTGTTTACATCCCGTGGAATGGTATTTCCTTTGTGGAATGGTACTTGTTCACTGTGCGCCTACCTACTGGTTTTGCCAATGTAATTAATGACACCTACGTGGTCGTGGGCTGTGTTTTACATGATTTTGTGTCCCCTATTTCTGCATTTTTGGCTACACACTGAAGCGGAGTTGTTTCAGTGTGTTGTTTTGTATTGAAAGCATGACTCACCAGCCACACGTAAAATCACCAGAATAATGTTCTATTGATATGGGAGCTATTTCTAACGGTTTTGTTTTTATATTAGATAATATGCGAGATGTCCGGCATTTTATTTCAATGTGATTGACTTGCCATATGCAACACCTTCAAGAGACAGATGAACTGAAACGCACGCGCGCTATTACAAACTGCTCGAGTTTGAGGTTACCATGTGTTTTTAGGACCAACTATTCACACGTTTTTTTTTTATGCGAAAACAACATTTTTATTAGCGATAATTGCTCAACTGAAACCATTTTAAAGGTGAGTGACTCAGCTGTCTGGAGTTCATCATGTCAGACCGAAGACTGACACGTTGGTTATTTTTATCCCAGCGCTGTTGAAGCTCGTGTGTAACTCTGCGCTTCAGAGTTTTAGCAGGGCCTATTGGCCTACTCCCAATTGCAGATATAGGTTAGTATAGAGGGTTATTTGTGTGATATATTTTTTTGTTAAACCTCCGTTGTTGTGCGGGAATGAGGCTCCTGTAGGCCTGTGCCTCGGAAGGTGGTTGAGTGTCAGTTGAACAAGGCATACTTGAACACGTGAAAGAAACTTTGATACACTGTGGCGGTTGCTGGTTTAATGGTGGTAGGGGCAATTACAGTTAAACTATTTGCAGTCTGCAAAAGCCATACTGGATTTTTAAACATGAATCCATATTGTAGGCATATTTCAGAAAATAACGGCCTGAATGCAAGACAATGTCTGCCTTAGCCTACATGAACATTGCATGATAGAATGCACCTGCCACAAGTGTGTGTCACCGTCAATTACATTGTATTGGCACAACCCCGGCTGACATCCTTTGCGGAAATGATGACATCCATTGCGCAGTCCTCTATTGACCCCAAATGTCTTTACACCTTAAGCAGGGGCACAATGTTATTGGTTCTCCGCCCTCTGGGTATCTGAAGTTCAGATTTTTAAATCACCTATTTGGACTTGACTTTTGTTACGACAAATACACACCAATGCTCCTTATACTGTACATGTGCTACCTCACGTGTGTGTGTGCTTTGCAATGTTGTTCACCACATGTTGTTTTTTGTTCACAGGAGTCTGAGGGAGGCTTGTATGTGTGTATGAACACATTCTTGGGCTTTGGCAGAGAACATGTGGAGAGACATTACCGTAAAACCGGACAGAGTGTTTACATGCACCTCAAACGGCATGTCAAAGAGGTGAGGGGTCATACCATGTGCTTCTATATTGGTCTACACACCGACAGTGCATAGTGTACGTACAGTTGACAAATTATATTATTTAATAATAATAATAATGCATGGGACTTGTATAGCGCTTTTCAACCCAAAGTGGCTTTACAATAGTAGAAACTATACAAAAAACAGATATCCAAAGCAAGACATCACCAGACTAATAGCAGGAAGAAAAGGAAAAACATGAAACAAAGAGAAAAGGAGGGGCTAAAGAATGGAGAAGAGTGTGATGTGTCAGTGTATGAGTGAGCGAGCAGGTTTTGTGTGTGGGAGAGAGAGTGAGTGTGTGTGTGTGTGGGGGGGGGGGGGGGGCTTCAAGGGATACTTCAGGAGTCTGATGAACTCGTGGATACCATTTATATGTCTCTGTTTGCAGTTTGAAGGAAGTTGCTAACTAGCGTTAGGGCAATGGCTGGAAGTCTATGGGTATCTGCTTTCAGTCATTGTGCTAACGGTAGTTAGCATTGGCTCGCAAAACTACCTCTAACTTCCTTTATACTGGACACAGAGACATAACTGGTATCTACGAGTTCATCAGACTCCTGAAGTTTCCCTTGGGAGGTAGATAAAGAGCCTCATTGCCAAAATCCCAAAGTATCCCTTTAAGGCTAGCCAATGGTGAAGAGGTGGGGCTTTAGGAGGGACTAAAAGATGGTGATGGACTCAGTCACAGCTGGCTGGAGGGAGGGAGTTCCAGAGCTTTGGACTCAGTCACAGATGGCTGGAGTTCCAGAGCTTTGGACTCAGTCACAGATGGCTGGAGGGAGTTACAGAGCTTTGGGCTCAGTCACAGATGGCTGGAGTGAGTTACAGAGCTTTGGACTCAGTCACAGATGGCTGGAGGGAGTTACAGAGCTTTGGACTCAGTCACAGATGGCTGGAGGGAGTTACGAGTTACAGAGGCTTTGGTAAGCTTGGACTCAGTCACAGATGGCTGGAGGGAGTTCCGGAGCTTTGGACTCAGTCACAGATGGCTGGAGTGAGTTACGGAGCTTTGGACTCAGTCACAGATGGCTGGAGGGAGTTACAGAGCTTTGGACTCAGTCACAGATGGCTGGAGGGAGTTACAGAGCTTTGGACTCAGTCACAGATGGCTGGAGGGAGTTACAGAGCTTTGGACTCAGTCACAGATGGCTGGAGGGAGTTCCGGAGCTTTGGACTCAGTCACAGATGGCTGGAGGGAGTTACAGAGCTTTGGACTCAGTCACAGATGGCTGGAGGGAGTTACAGAGCTTTGGACTCAGTCACAGATGGCTGGAGGGAGTTCCGGAGCTTTTGGAGTAACCCTGGAGAAGGCCCTGTCACAAAAGCTCTGGAGCTTGGACCTAGAATGAGACGGTATTAATATTGATATGCCCTGTTTATTTGTTCAGTTTGGGTGAAAGATTTTTCCCTCTTTTCCCTGGATGTTAGTTTTATCGAATCAGTGATATATTGTTATTAGTTGCAAGTACATTGGACTTTGCAGTAGCACCTTTGTGTGATCAATTTTGGCACAAAACATTGAAGGGAAATATCTATTGAGCTGACAAGAAAGAGGCTGGCTTGTTTCAACTTCATATTCATCATCTCCAGCACCACCCCAACATAAACTTGATGACATCATCCGGAAACACTATTGACATTATCTGGTACTTTACCGACCTATGCCTGCTCATAGTTGGTTAAAATCCCATGATGCACAGCAGATTCTTTTATTTATTTATTATTTATGCACACCAGATTATTTTATCCCATTGAGACTAACTAAGGTTTATTTTACACATAATTTACCAAATACTATATAATATAAATATACACAAATTACAAATACATTGAAGAAAAATAATCACATTCATCAGCAAAGAGGTCCCCAATCAACATGTTGAAGTGCCCGAGAGGCACCACCACATCCTGTTGTTGGGAACTCTGTAGATTGTTCCATACATGGACATCCTGTTGTAGGGAACTCCGTAGATTGTTCCATACATGGACATCCTGTTGAAGGGAACTCCGTAGATTGTTCCATACATGGACATCCTGTTGTAGGGAACTCCGTAGATTGTTCCATACATGGACATCCTGTTGTAGGGAACTCCGTAGATTGTTCCATACATGGACATCCTGTTGTAGGGAACTCTGTAGATTGTTCCATACATTGACATCCTGTTGTAGGGAACTTTGTAGATTGTTCCATACATGGACATCCTGTTGTTGGGAACTCCGTAGATTGTTCCATACATGGACATCCTGTTGTAGGGAACTCTGTAGATTGTTCCATACATTGACATCCTGTTGTAGGGAACTTTGTAGATTGTTCCATACATGGACATCCTGTTGTTGTTATTATTACATTTAAAATGTAAATGTAATAAAAATGAAGAAAGAGTGATGACTCGACCTGTGATTTCAAAGATGGCCAGCCTACTTTCTGGTAAATAATGCAGTGACTTGTACTGAACATGATGTCAAAAGTGTTTCTGAAGACATCATCCGCAAACCATTTTTATTTATATATTTTTTTTACATCATCTGGTGTGCCTCTTTGACTGCAAATCATGCTTTATTCAAAGCATATTATTGTGATACTACAGATATATTTACATCAGATCCTGACACAAAAGCTTCAAAATAGGTAGCAACCTGCTTATTATTGATATATTATCACTTAAAATGTCACTCACTTGCCTGACAAACGTTACATCTGTTTTTGCCTGACCAATGGATCTAGCCATGTAGATCTTCCCCTCCATCTCACAGCAACATAACAATTCAGATCAGAATGCTGTTTTCTGTTCTACATCGTTTCGTCAGCCAGCACTAGGCTGTTGTATTAGTGTTGGAAAAAAAACTACTGTAAATATATCAAAACCGTTTTAGTATTCTAATTTATAAAGGTAATCATTTTGTATTTTAGAAAACGATAGTAGTTTCATGGCTTGCTACCACTGTCTATGAGAATAGGCAATTTTTAAGAGATGTATTGCTCTATAAGGCATATTTTGCTCCGTTAATAACCTTTCTACCTGTTCACTTGTTTCCCACAGAAAGCCACAGGTGCCGCAGGAGGCGCCATCCCCAGAAGAAGAAATGGCCAAGTGTTCCTAGGTAAGCCTTATACTGTCCTGAAGATATCCTCACGGGGAGTTCCCCTTAGACTCAGTCTCCTTATGGGTTATTTAAAGTACAGTCACATTTCTCTCAGTAGTCTGTTTGCTAGCCCTTCTCGAAGAGAAGGACAAGACTCTACCATCCTTTACTATAGACCGACATTTCCCCCTTTTCTAATGCCATTTATTAGGGGAAATCGCCTGTCATCGTGTTATGCTGTTATTGTTTTTATTTGGTTATATGGCGGTGGCCCTACACTGGCCCTACACTCTCTTGCCTAATGTGACGTATTCCCATGTCCAGAGCCCAAGGCCTGGCCTCCCGGTCCTTTCCTGCCGTGCCACTCTAAATTTAGCCCATTTATTCATATATGCAGTTAGTAACCATTCTAAATCCAAAGTGCCACATGCCCGGGCTGGTCTACTCCCTTCCTACAGGGGGGTTGGTTTACAGTGGGCCGCCCCTGCCTGTCGCTCGGCTGTCCTCAGCTGCTGTGCCTCGTCAACTCCCCCCGGCTAACACACTTCTGCCATTGGCCACAATGACACGGGCAAGGGAGGGTCAGGAGGTGGATTCTCCTCTCGCCCTAGCTGTGTTATTTAAATAATCAATGCTTGCTAGTTACCTCCCCTGTTTAACCACCCCCAGCAACATTCCCTTACCCTCCATTCTCTTATCTCCCACTATCCACTGAAGCTGTGTATGCCGGCCACTTCAGTGCCCTGCCTCGGTGTAGCCTACATACCCAGAAGCACTAGGCTACAAGCGTCACTCTCCCATTATTGGACGTGCTGGATTGTGGTCTTTCACTCTGCAGGCCTGACCCCATTTTGGGGCCCGTGTGGACACAGAGGTTCTTCAAGCCTGATGTGAACTGCATCCTCCTTCCCTTCCTTCCAATCTCCTCTCGGCTTTGACGCCCATTGGAACCCAAGCTAAAGCTCAATGTTGCTTTGGCATTTCCATACCAGTGACGATCTAATCAGTTGGCCAGCAGCCAACACAGCCCAGATGTCATCATGTATCTAGAGGCTTCTAAACAAAAGCCATAGAGGAGGACTAGGGTTGAAAAAGAGGGGGTCTATGTATGCAGTAACATTATCTGGCTACTTAATACATAACTCAACGATTCGTCATCAATTATTTTAATCTTCTGGTCACCATAGAAACAATAGGGGACTCACAATTAATTTGACTCTAGGTTCTACAAGCGCTGTCTAAAAATTCCCAAATACATGTCGAACATGTTTTTGACTTGTCGTCAATTATGCCTTGATGAGTATTCTATTAAATCCTTTACATTTCTATTGTGAAATTGTTAAACGAGGACTTTGCATCCTACTACTCTCAGTAGAACTCAACAGTTCAGCATAGAGAAGCTCCAGAGCACACAGTCTTTCTTACCAGTGTACTCTTTAGCCAGAGTTGGGATCTTATCATACAGTAGTATTCCCCTGACCCTGGACCTCATTAAACAATTTGATCTTTTGACCCTTGTTGACAAGGGACAATTATATGACATTTGACCTCTGTTCTGCAGCTGTGACGTCTAACCCTATCCCCTAGTCTGGGTTAACCTCACTAGATGTATACTGTATCTTATTAAGCCAGCTAACATGGAAGCTCAAATATTCAAGAAATGCATACACATCCCATTTTATATTGGATAACCCACCTTTCAGTTACCTTCAAACAAATCACACGATCTCAGAAATGCATTAGATCACCTGAAACGCCTACCGTATTCTTCTCCAGAATTGATGTGAGTATTTGATTCTGTCGTCTCACTTTTTTTATCCTATCTAGTCAAGACAAATGCTCAGTGAAAGGCCAATCAAGTGTATGAATCATCAGCCACTGTTTCATGGGAACTGAATGTCGACGTCTGCTTCCTCTCTCTCAGATTTAGAACTAAACCGTGATTTTAAAGGAGATGAGTATGAGTGTGAAGATGAGGCCAAGCTCGTCATATTCCCAGACCACTTCGAGATCCCCTTACCAAATATTGAGGAGTTGCCTGCACTGGTCAGTGAGTGTGTGCCCATGCTCCATTTGTGTGCCATGCATGCTGAAGGGAAACGGTGGGTCACTTCTCGCCATTTGCCTTTTCCAGTGCAGTGCTTCCTTATCATGTTTTTAGTTTTTGAATGCCAGGTATCCTGTGCTTTTTTTTATTTTTTGTTTTGGCATGCTGTGTTATTAGTTTGTTAATCAAAGGGTCTAATTGTTGTGAAAGCCTTTGTGTGCATGTGTTGATTTCAATGGTACGAAGTAACACTGGTTGTGTTAATCATATGCTGATGTAGCAGTAGCAGTAGCAGTAGCAGTAGTAGCAGTAGCAGTAGCAGTAGCAGTAGTAGTAGCAGTAGCAGTAGTAGCAGTAGCAGTAGCAGTAGCAGTAGCAGTAGCAGTAGCAGCAGTAGTAGCAGCAGTAGTAGCAGTAGCAGTAGCAGTAGCAGTAGCAGTAGCAGTAGCAGTAGCAGTAGTAGCAGTAGCAGTAGTAGCAGTAGCAGTAGTAGCAGTAGCAGTAGCAGTAGCAGTAGCAGTAGTAGTGGCAGCAGCAGTAGCAGTAGGAGCAGCAGTAGTAGTGACATCACAATCTGATCTGATTATTCTGACCAATGACCAGTCCTACATTAAAGGGATAAGCGCGGTCTAGAGTCTAGACGATCCTATCACTCAATCAGGGCTGTGTTTTTAAATATATTTAAATGTGTATTTAAACGCCCACGCGATCAGACTGATCATTTCAATGGCAAAAGGAGGCTCTGGGTTATGTTAATAAATGATTTTCATGAAATAAACACACAGCGTGAGTTATTAGACATACAGTGATGATTTAAAAAATAATAAGACTGCATGGGGGCTTTAAAAGTGACATTATTTGGTGTTATTACATTATCCTCTGTTACAGACTAACTCCCCAACCAGTGCTAGTAAAATAGACAAATCAGTGAGGAACTACAGTGAAACTCTATTATATAATTATCTTAGTTTCAGGAACATATTTATTGTCTCTTATCCTCACTAATCAAACTGGGATCAGGTTATCTAGCTTCCTGTATGCACCACAGTCCTAGACCTGTTACCATAACTACAGGAAGTAGGGGTGCTGAGGGTGTTGCAGCACCCCCAGAAAAATCACAATAAAACAAATTATATTAATACGAAAATTGAAAAAAAAGTTTTTTTCACAAAAGTAGTGTACTGGGCCTTTTTAATAGTCCTGAATTAGGGATCAATATAGCCGTCTGCAACGCGAGCAAAAATAGTTTTACAGCCTAGGCTGTTGCTAGTCCTAGTCTTATTATGTCAGTGAAACATCTCCTCAGTCAGTAGATCTAATGGTTCCTGTGTGTCCCGTGACTCCCAGGTGACAATAGCCTGCGATGCCGTGCTGAACGCCGCGTCAGCCTACAAAAAACAGGAGTCTGACTCCTGGGACGAGGAGATCCAGGTGTCCAAACATGCCAGGAGTCTCCGACAGCAGGACAACGGAGTGAGGATCCCACCCAGGTAACTGCCCACTAATTGGACTGACAAAGGGTTATGCAATGACTTAGAAACACCAACATAGTGGACAGTGGCTTCAGAACAGCTCCCGTCTCATATCATTTTGTGTTGCTGCTAGTTTGAGGGTCCTCCGGTGTTTCTTGTGTGGTTTGGGGGGGGGTCCTTCTGGGTTACTTGAGCTACTTGTGGGTCCCTCCACCTTACTTGTGGGATTCTGATCCCATATCAAGGAATCGCTCCTTTATCATGGTCGAATATTCCCACGGATAGATCAGATAATAGGCCTACATACCCAGAAAGACTATGTTGTCTTTCTGACATCTATATACTGGCATGGCCACCATAGTAAGACTTCTCAGCCACTGGTCTGTCATTTTCCTGTGCTGAGGATGTCAGTTATGAAGGGTTGCGGAATGAGATGGGTGGCAGGACCATCTTAGGGATCTGAAGCCAAGTTACTCTGTAATGTTTCTTAGGGATCTGAAGCCAAGTTACTCTGTAATGTTTCTTAGGGGTCTGAAGCCAAGTTACTCTGTAATGTTTCTTAGGGATCTGAAGCCAAGTTACTCTGTAATGTTTCTTAGGGGTCTGAAACCAAGTTACTCTGTAATGTTTCTTAGGGGTCTGAAACCAAGTTACTCTGTAATGTTTCTTAGGGGTCTGAAACCAAGTTACTCTGTAATGTTTCTTAGGGATCTGAAACCAAGTTACTCTGTAATGTTTCTTAGGGATCTGAAACCAAGTTACTCTGTAATATTTCTTAGGGATCTGAAGCCAAGTTACTCTGTAATGTTTCTTAGGGATCTGAAGCCAAGTTACTCTGTAATGTTTCTTATTTGTCTGAAACCAAGTTACTCTGTAATGTTTCTTAGGGGTCTGAAACCAAGTTACTCTGTAATGTTTCTTAGGGATCTGAAACCAAGTTACTCTGTAATGTTTCTTAGGGATCTGAAGCCAAGTTACTCTGTAATGTTTCTTAGGGATCTGAAACCAAGTTACTCTGTAATGTTTCTTAGGGGTCTGAAACCAAGTTACTCTGTAATGTTTCTTAGGGATCTGAAGCCAAGTTACTCTGTAATGTTTCTTATGGGTCTGAAACCAAGTTACTCTGTAATGTTTCTTAGGGGTCTGAAACCAAGTTACTCTGTAATGTTTCTTAGGGATCTGAAACCAAGTTACTCTGTAATGTTTCTTAGGGATCTGAAACCAAGTTACTCTGTAATGTTTCTTAGGGATCTGAAACCAAGTTACTCTGTAATGTTTCTTAGGGATCTGAAACCAAGTTACTCTGTAATGTTTCTTAGGGGTCTGAAACCAAGTTACTCTGTAATGTTTCTTAGGGATCTGAAACCAAGTTACTCTGTAATGTTTCTTAGGGATCTGAAACCAAGTTACTCTAACCTTATATAGCATTTTGTGTATTATTTTACATGTAGCATTAAGAAGCATTAGCATTAAGGAGTGTTTTAGGATGCTAAACATTAAACACACAAGTCTGTCCTACCCTGTTCATTGAACATAATTCAGGTCAATCAATTAACTCCAATGAGAGAGAATGCTTTTTGGCCGTTCTTGCTATTTTGTCCTTCAAGAACAACGACACTGAGAGAATGGGTAACACTAACACTGTCATGACACGTATTTAGACCTGTTGTGACATATGTTGCGTTATTTTATGGCTGGTTATGACACCTACATAAGAGTGTAAAAACCCACAACACAAGGCAAAACATTCCATTACACCATAGCCTACTTGTCAACAGTTTTATGTTATACAGCTCTGGAAAAAAATAAGAGACCACTGCAAAATTATCAATTTCTCTGGTTTTACTATTTATAGGTATGTGTTTGGGTAAAAATACCATTTCTGTTTTATTCTATAAACTACTGACAACATTTCTCCCAAATTCCAAATAAAAATATTGTCATTTAGAGCATTTATTTGCAGAAAATGACAACTGGTCAAAATAACAAAAAAGATGCAGTGTTGTCAGACCTCGCATAATGCAAAGAAAATAAGTTCATGTTCATTTTTAAACGACACAATACTAATGTTTTAACTTAGGAAGAGTTCAGAAATCAATATTTGGTGGAATAACACCGATTTTCAATCACAGCTTTCTTGCGTCTTGGCATGCTCTCCACCAGTCTTTCACATTGATGTTGGGTGACTTTATGCCACTCCTGGTGGAAAAATTCAAGCAGCTCGGCTTTGTTTGATGGCTTGTGACCATCCATCTTCCTCTTGATCACATTCCAGAAGTTTTCAATGGGGTTCAGGTCTGGAGATTGGTCTGGCCATGACCGGGTCTTGATCTGGTGGTCCTCCATCCATACCTTGATTGACCTGGCTGTGTGGCATGGCGCATTGTCCTGCTGGAAAAACCAATCATTTACATTACATTTACATTTTAGCAGACGCTCTTATCCAGAGCGACTTACAGTTAATGAGTGCATACATTTTTCATACTGGCCCCCCGTGGGAAACGAACCCACAACCCTGGCGTTGTAAGCGCCATGCTCTACCAACTGAGCTACAGGGGACAGAGTTGGGGAACAATGTCAGAGCAAAAGGAAGCAAGTTTTCTTCCAGGACAACCTTGTACGTGGCTTGATTCATGCGTCCTTCACAAAGACAAATCTGCCCGATTCCAGCCTTGCTGAAGCACCCCCAGATCATCACCGATCCTCCACCAAATTTCACAGTGGGTGCGAGACGCTGTGGCTTGTAGGCCTCTCCAGGTCTCCGTCTAACCATTAGACGACCAGGTGTTGGGCAAAGCTGAAAATTGGACTCATCAGAGAAGATGACCTTACTCCAGTCCTCTACGGTCCAATCCTTATGGTCTTTTGCAAACCTCAGCCTGGCTCTTCTTTGCTTCTCATTGATGAAGGGATTTTTTCTAGCTTTTCACGACTTCAGCCCTGCCCCTAGGAGCCTGTTTCGAACCGTCCTCGCCGTGTACTTCACCCCAGCTGTCGTTTGCCATTCTTTTTGTAAGTCACTTGATGTCATCCTACAGTTGTTGAGTGACATTCGAATGAGTTGGCGGTCATCCCGGTCAGTAGAGAGTCGTTTTCGCCCTCTGCCGGTCTGTAGCTTTGTTGTCCCCAATGTCTGCTGCTTGACCTTGTTCTTAAGAACCGGCATCTCTGCCAGTAAAGCCAGAATTGAACCCTTCTTTTCCTCACTCAAAACGTTCCTTTTCAACTCTTTTGGCATGGTCAATAGTTATTTTCTGATTAATATTACTTTTGATGTACTATTAGCACTGTTTTTACCATCCAGCTGGTCCTATTGCAAGAGGATAGTGATGACCACAGCAGTGGTTTTTATACTTTTCCTCATTGAATAAGATTTGGTTCAGGTGATCACCTAATCAGTACCTAATTCAGTAGAATGAGGTGTGCCTGTGTTGGAATTCAACAGACACTGGAATGGAATGGCTGTCATACATGTAGAGATGCTGATTGAAGAAAAATGTGCAGTGTTTTTTTCCACAGCTGTATAACGTTTTCTGAAATTGACCTTATTCAATTATCATTGTAATTGCGCCCACATCGATGTCAGAAATACACCTACCCCTAATGCTCTGTTGCTGATGACTGGGATGAATGCAGGAGCAGTAATCAGGAGCAGGACAAGACACCCTCTTTTTGACGGATGACTGACATAAGGGCATGTATGTGGTAGGCCTATCTGGCTTATACGTTTATGATGGTCCTAATGCTTCTTGACAGTGTCATAAAGTGTATTTTTACATTACATTTACATTTTGCAGACGCTCTTATCCAGAGCGACTTACAGGAGCATTTAGGGTTAAGTGCCTTGCTTAAGGGCACATCGACAGATTTTTCACCTAGTCGGCCCGGGGATTAGAACCAGCGACCTTTCGGTTACTGGCACAACGCTCTTACCCACTAAGCTACCTGCCACCCTATTTTCTTAGTCCAAGTGAAGTGACACAAGATGGTCATAATGCTTAATGACAATGTCAAAAAGTTTCATTTTCTACGAGATATTTAAAATATGATGAAAAAATAAACATGACTGTAAATAATTAGTTACAACAACAACAACAACAACGGGATTTAAGAAATAAACTTTGAAACAAAAAGAAACTTCTTGGCAGGGAAAAAACACATTTGAATAACAATCATGACAGTGTTATGACCATGTTATGACATATTAAGACATGGTTATGACGCTGGGTGTCAAGGAAAGTGTTACCAAAAGATGTAATAAGAGCTAACCTATTTATCAACATGTGACTCTTTGAATGTTTTACCCCTGTTCCGTCTCTCCTCTTAGTGGCTGGAAATGTCAGAAGTGTGAGATGAGAGAGAACCTGTGGCTGAACCTGACGGACGGAGCGGTGCTTTGTGGGAAGTGGTTCTTCGACGGTGCCGGAGGAAACGGCCACGCCCTGGACCACTACAAAGACACCAACTTTCCCCTGGCAGTCAAACTGGACAACATCACCCCAGACGGAGCAGGTCAGTGCCCACTTCCCCTTGCAGTCAAACTGGACAACATCACCCCAGATGGAGCAGGTCAGTGTCCACTTCCCCTGGCAGTCATACAGGACAACATCACCCCAGACGGAGCAGGTCAGTGCCCACTTCCCCTTGCAGTCATACAGGACAACATCACCCCAGACGGAGCAGGTCAGTGCCCACTTCCCCTGGCAGTCAAACTGGACAACATCACCCCAGACGGAGCAGGTCAGTGCCCACTTCCCCTGGCAGTCATACAGGACAACATCACCCCAGATGGAGCAGGTCAGTGCCCACTTCCCCTGGCAGTCAAACTGGACAACATCACCCCAGACGGAGCAGGTCAGTGCCCACTTCCCCTGGCAGTCATACAGGACAACATCACCCCAGATGGAGCAGGTCAGTGCCCACTTCCCCTTGCAGTCATACAGGACAACATCACCCCAGATGTAGCAGGTCAGTGCCCACTTCCCCTGGCAGTCAAACTGGACAACATCACCCCAGACGGAGCAGGTCAGTGCCCACTTCCCCTGGCAGTCATACAGGACAACATCACCCCAGATGGAGCAGGTCAGTGCCCACTTCCCCTTGCAGTCATACAGGACAACATCACCCCAGATGTAGCAGGTCAGTGCCCACTTCCCCTGGCAGTCAAACTGGACAACATCACCCCAGACGGAGCAGGTCAGTGCCCACTTCCCCTGGCAGTCATACAGGACAACATCACCCCAGATGGAGCAGGTCAGTGCCCACTTCCCCTTGCAGTCATACAGGACAACATCACCCCAGATGTAGCAGGTCAGTGCCCACTTCCCCTGGCAGTCAAACTGGACAACATCACCCCAGACGGAGCAGGTCAGTGCCCACTTCCCCTGGCAGTCATACAGGACAACATCAGAGCAGGTCAGTGACACATATTGGGGAAAACATACAATAAAACATTATAAATGCTCATACATGCTTCTAACACAATAACGCATTATAGCTGGGTTCCACTTTTCCATTGGTGTATAAGCATAGAGATCCTATTAAATTCATATTCTAATTCCTAATTCTAAGTATACCGGTAACAACCCCCTATTATATGAAGAGAGCCTTGGCCCTTGTTTTTTATGACCAGTAACACCCCCCCCCCCCCCCCCCCCCCCCCCCCCCCTCTTTCAGATATATATTCATTTGATGAAGAAGAAGCAGTCCTGGACCCTCACATATCCGAACACTTACAACACTTTGGAATAGACATGCTACAGATGCAGCAGGTACGTCTAGCCATCGTTGTAGGAAAGATTGACAAGCTCTCATTTAGCTGAGTTATACCTGTTTCATAATACACAACATTTGTGATGTGCAAAACCATATATTTTCAAACAGCCAGTTCCACTTTACATAGAATAATGTGGGCCTAGAATAACATCAACCATGTCTGGGTACCTGTCGGACCCCCCCATTTTGAAGCAGTACTTTGTTCCATTGGTTGAATAGAATGGAACAGAAAATGGCCACCTCAACACGGACAACGCAGACAGCGTGCAGCCTCGGGTCAGCGAGTGGGAGGTGATCCAGGAATCGGGCATGAAACTGAAGGCGGTGTATGGTTCGGGTTTCACTGGCATCAAGAACCTGGACAACAGCTGTTACCTGGGCACCACCATGCAGGTCCTCTTCAGCATCCCAGAGTTCCAGAGGGCGTGAGTACCACCAGCATCTGGGAGGGGCTTGTTCGTGTGTGTGAGAGAGCTATAGAGAGAGAAAGGGGGGGCCTCCAGAATAGACCAGAGTAAACATACAAAGTCAGGACACTGCGCGGGTCATGTTTCGCCACTCCGAATATAGATGCTGATGACGGAAAACTGACTCACTTGACCTAAAGGTGTTATTACGTGGTGATTGCACAACAGCACTGAAAACGGCAGGCTTATACGAGTGGATGACTGTAGTGTTCCGAGTGGATGACTGTAGTGTTCCGAGTGGATGACTGTAGTGTTCAATCTCATATTTTCCCTCTTCAAAAAAAAAATCTCTCCTGGACTTACAGTAGCGTGTGCACTGAATGTACTGTCTGGCGTCTGTTTTGAATCTCTAGGTATGTTGGAAATCTCCAGAGGATATATGACTACTCACCTCTTGACCCCACCACGGATTTCAGCACACAAATGTGAGTCAATACACAGTTACATAATGTTGCTTATCATCAGTACATCGTCTTGACCAGGGGCTTGGCCCCTTGGGCCCGGGGGAGGCTGAGTTAAAAAACTCTCCAGGCCACTGTTGAACGTCTAAAACTAGATAGAAATTATAATGGACCTATACGTTTTCAAATAACTGCCCTTTTCCTGGCCCGCAAATTGCTTTTGGCGAACATATAAAATCTGTGCTGCCCTCCACTGAATTGGCGATGTTTCCCTCGAGACTAAATTATTACTCACCCTGGTCTTGTCTCACACCTCCAAACATCTGACCGGTTCACATCTTTGCTGACTTGCCGTTAAAAGCCCCTCTATAATTTTTTTTTACATTTTAGTCATTTAGCAGATGCTCTTATCCAGAGCGACTTACAGGAGCAATTAGGGTTAAGTGCCTTGCTCAAGGGCACATTTTCACCTAGTTCTAATCCCAGAGCCGACCAGCGACCTTTCGGTTACTGGCACAACGCTCTTAACCACTAAGCTACCTGCCGCTCTATGCCAACTCTAATGTTTTCTAGTTACACTATATATACAGCAGTATGTGGAGAGCCCTTCAAATTAGTGGATTTGGCTATTTCAGCCACACCTGTTACTGACAGGTGTATAAAATCGAGCACACAGCCATGCAATCTCCATAGACAAACATTGGCAGTAGAATGGCCTTACTGATGAGCTCAGTGACTTTCAACGTGGCACCGTCATAGGATGCCACCGTTCCAACAAGTCAGTTCGTCAAATTTCTGCCCTGCTAGAGCTGCCCCGGTCAACTGTAAGTGCTGTTATTGTGAAGTGGAAATGTCTAGGAGCAACAACGTCTCAGCCGCGAAGTGGTAGGCCACACAAGCTCACAGAATGGGACCGCCGAGTGCTGAAATGCATAGGGCGTAAAAATCGTCTGTCCTCGGTTGTATCACTCACTACCGAGTTCCAAACTGCCTCTGGAAGCAACGTCAGCACAATAACTGTCAGTCGGGAGCTTCATGAAATGGGTTTCCATGACCGAGCAGCCGCACACAAGTCTAAGATCACCATGCGCAATGCCAAGCGTTGGCTGGAGAGGTGTAAAGCTCCCCACCATTGGACTCTGGAGCAGTGGACATGCGTTCTCTGGAGTGATGAATCACGCTTCACCATCTGGCAGTCCGACAGTCGAATCTGGGTTTGGCGGATGCCAGGAGAACGCTACCTGCCCCAATGCATATTGCCAACTGTAAAGTTTGGTGGAGGAGGAATAATGGTATTTTTTGTTTTTTCATGGTTCGGGCTAGGCCCCTTAGTTCCAGTGAAGGGAAATCTTGACGCTACAGCATACAATGACATTATAAAAGATTCTGTACTTCCATTTTTGTGGCAACAGTTTGGGGGAAGGCCCTTCCCAGTTTCAGCATGACCATGCCCCCGTGCACAAAGTGAGGTCCATACAGAAATGGTTTGTTGAGATTGGTGTGGAAGAACTTGACTGGCCTGCACAGAGCCCTGACCTCAACCCCATTGAACACCTTTGAGATGAATTGGAACGCCGACTGTGAGCCAGGCCTAATCGCCCATGAGCAGGTGTCCACATACTTTTGGTCATGTAGTGTAGCTATGTATCTTGATTAATAAATACATTAAAGCTAGAATTCTTAGTTGCTACATCCATTTTTGGACTTATGCATTTATTATATATACATTTATAATATTTACCCTTTGATTCTTGAAGGATATAACTTATAAATGCTTAGTTCAACTGTAGTACCCCATCAGAACCCAAAATATATAATCTTGTTTTACAAAGTAAATGTAAACAAACACTAGCCTCAACATGGTTAAAACTATAGTTTTGATGTCACGGATGGGCAGTCTTTGCATCCATAGCTCTGCCTATGAATTTGAGAATGGTTACATTTTAAAAGCCCCATCCCTCAGCTTCTTGCCGAAACCACAGAGGCGATTGGACCAGTTTCTTATTGATTCAATTGAGGACTCAGCTTTAATGACCCCTTTCCTGCAGTCAAATGACCAAATCGCCCTCTAGTGGCCTCATGGGTGGAATGTTGTTCATATTTTTCATAATTTCATAATTAAAGGTTTCTTTTTTTTTTTTTACGCCGTAAATCCGGTGTTTCAAATGGTTTTGTAATATTTCAGTCTTCTGTGATGTATATAAAGTGTAATGTTGGGATGCAAACTCAAAATTGAATACATTTCAACTCTATATCTGACATGGTACAGGTGTCTTCTTTTTTTTAAGCCCATAACCATGTGTGTGAGGTGTATACTTTTGTTTCAAAGTAGATTTGTTTAAGACTACCAAGAAAAACTCTGTGTGACCCTGATTTAGCCCACTGCAGTAAAATGTTAAATGATGAGCACAGAAGAATGTCAGTGCTAGAAAAACATTGGATCTAACCCATCCACCTGGCCAGATGAAAACTGAGAGGCTCCTAAACGAAGGGGGTAATGAATGTTGGTAATTAAGACATAAACACTGGCTGACTGACTGAGAGATGACCATGTTAATGACCTTCACCATGTTAATGACCTTCACCATGATGATTCGATGCAGATCATGTCATACTGAGAGATGATCGTGTTAATGAACTTCATGTTGATTCGATGCAGATCATGTCATACTGAGAGACGATCGTGTTAATGAACTTCATGTTGATTGGATGCAGATCATGTCATACTGAGAGATGATCGTGTTAATGACCTTCACCATGATGATTCGATGCAGATCGTGTCATACTGAGAGATGATCGTGTTAATGACCTTCACCGTGTTAATCTGATGCAGATCGTGTCATAAATCAGGAGGTTGTTTACCACTGGTGTTGCCCAATCGATTTTGTTCTTAGCAGCTGTTAGTAGTTCGAGTAGCCGTTATACTGCAAGCATGTGTAATGTGTTTTGGTTGGTCAATCATTTCATTGCTTTCCTTTTGTGTATGTTGATGGTGGAGACGGTGTTGGCAAAGAGCTTTTGTTCTTAGCCAAGTTTTAACAGCTATTACAATGCTAACTTGTGCAATAGGACAGGCACCATGGGTTTGTTACTAAGTTACATTGGTGTCCTTTTGTTTTGTCCACCAGGGCTAAACTGGGCCACGGACTCATCTCAGGCCTGTACTCCAAACCACCAATGAAATCCGAGCTCATTGAACAGGTGATGAGAGAAGAATGCAAGGTATTAGACTGGGCATGTCCAGCTCCTTATCTGGGAAAAATTACAAACTGGCAATTTGGGAGATCAGAACGTATTTGTTTTGTGTTGCCAGATAAGCAGGGGAAAGAGATGTGGGAAACTACTGTTCTGTTCTGTACTGTTCTTCTCCATTCATCATGCAGCTGCTAGCTTTTCATCTAGTAATGCCAGTGTAATATAATGAGGAGTCTGCAATCAGGTTAGGGCCAGGTTTGGACACACACAGACAGCTTGCGTGGGGAAGGGAGGGGTGGGGATGGAACTTGTAGATATATTAATTATCCTCTGTTGCAATATTCATTGTTGCTCATATTTTGAGTACCTTGTAGTTTTTACATTTAAAGGGTGTGTTGCATGTCTTCAGTATCATAACCCAATATTTTTCCCAAATGATTTTTGGGTTGCAACTCTTTGCGGTATAACTACTTCCATTAACGTGGAAATTGTATTTTCTATTTATAGTATAAACTGTAGCTAACGTTCGAGATTTGATCGTCTTAGATGCCCCATGCATGCTGCAATAACAACCCAATTGTGTTACAAAGTGTTGTCTATTCATTTAGCAAATGTAGTGCCATTTTGGCATTTTTCACTGCCTACATCTAGCTGCTGCATACCAACTTGTCTTGCAGGAGCAGTGTGAATTGTTGCTAATCCAATCGGTACAACACAGCCCTGAATCCTGAAGTATTTAGTATACAGATTACAGATTACAGACATACAGGGACTCTACACTGCAGCACCTTCTGTTGTGCGATGTATGATTCATCTAACACTGCCATGTAAAGACCCTCCGGATTTCCTGCAGGTTGCATGTTTGTTTTGTGGGGAAAGGATCTTGAGGGTTACTGCCAGTATGCATGTTTTTTTTGGGGGGGAAAGGATCTTGAGGGTTACTGCCAGTATGCCTGTTTGTTTTGTGGGGAAAGGATCTTGAGGGTTACTGCCAGTATGCCTGTTTTGTGGGGAAAGGATCTTGAGGGTTACTGCCAGTATGCCTGTTTGTTTTGTGGGGAAAGGATCTTGAGGGTTACTGCCAGTATGCCTGTTTGTTTTGTGGGGAAAGGATCTTGAGGGTTACTGCCAGTATGCCTGTTTGTTTTGTGGGGAAAGGATCTTGAGGGTTACTGCCAGTATGCATGTTTGTTTTGTGGGGAAAGGATCTTGAGGGTTACTGCCAGTATGCATGTTTGTTTTGTGGGGAAAGGATCTTGAGGGTTACTGCCAGTATGCCTGTTTGTTTTGTGGGGAAAGGATCTTGAGGGTTACTGCCAGTATGCATGTCTCTTTATGCAGTCTGACTGTAGGGCTGTGTCAGATGGTGTAGCTAGATACAGCACCGATTAGACATTACGCTGTTGTCACTGATCTCATAAGCACAGAAGTTGCACTTGGTATTAAATTGAAAAAATTAAGACGGAAAAGCCCTTTTCAAAGACGAGCCAAATCCTAACTTGTGTAGCTCAAATCGCCTCTCAAGTTGGAAATTGGCCTCATGAGATTCAGAATGTTTATTAGCAGGATACCTGTTTTTCCTGAAGTACCTCCAATCACACGTCAACCTGAAGTTCCTCCAATCACGTGTCAATGGTTTGGTTTGGTGTCTTGGTGCCTTAGACAGGTGACTGGTCATACACACTTTGTGTGTGACACCTTGTTCTCATTGCAGCACCAGCCGAAGGGCATCTCTCCCAAGATGTTCAAAGCCATGGTCAGCAAGGGCCACCCCGAGTTCTCCTCCAACAGACAGCAAGACGCACACGAGTTCTTCCTGCACCTCATCAACCTGGTCGAGGTATGTATGGCTTCATATCTATTAGTAGGAGTGAGTTAAACTACTCTAAAAGGTATGTAGTGGTGAATACAGTATGCCATTGTTGTAGAGTGTAATGAATACTCGGACAGAGTGGTAAGATCCAATCGCAGAATAGCGATGCTTTATTAGAGTACAGACAAGGGAATAGCTTAATCGTGGTCGGGCGGGCTGTGGTCAAAACCGGGCCAGGCATAGACAGGCAGAGGTACCAAAGGAGCGGGCTTAGTCGTAGTCGAGGTCACAGGCACAGGATCAGAGAACGGTAATCACTGGGGTAGACAAGTAGAGGATTAAGCAATTCGGGAAGTCAAACAACAAGGCACAGGTCGGATACACGGGTAATCAAAAACAACAAAACTCTCTCTCTCTCTCGGAACAAAACGCTTAGCAAGTCACAAAGGAACAATACCTCGCACCGACTGAACCTCTGAGCACACCTTATATCCTACCCTAATTATGGACAGGTGTGCTCAGAACTCAGGTGAACCAGATCGAGTCTGATGACTCCCCCTCTCTGTAGATCGGGGAAGTGTCAGACTCTGTCTAGACCCAGCCAACCCCCGATCCCTTACATAGAGGTACAGAAATTGGCAAACAAATTCACTTGTGTTCAACAAAAGACTCATAACCGTAAATTGTATCAATCGGGCAATGGCTTTTCAGCTTTTCAGATTATACAGAGTGTACTGGCTTTTCAGTTTGTACAGATTATACAGAGTGTATTTGTACATTGTCTTTCAATGATGGCACTGGCCAAAATAAAATAAACTGCTTTCATGAAATGGCTACCGCAAAGCATTTTCCTGACCATGTCAATGCTCCTCTGACTCTGATCAGACGTGGTCAATCTGGGGGTCTTGGGGGAGGGGAGGAGGGACAGGACGCTGTCCCTCTCGGCCGGCAGATACACTTGTTCTCTGAAGTGACTTTCTTAACCAGGTTAAATTTAGTCCGCCCCTATCGGTTTCACAGGCCTGATAATGCTTCCTATTCTGCCTGTTGTCCACACTTAGACTCCAAACCTTCCACTTTCTCTGCTCTTGTCCTTGACACAACAAAACAATTGATCCAACATCAGTTTATTAGACTTGGTTGCATGCTTATTATGTATCGTCAATGTTTTAGTCATTTGTGGCGATGTTCTGAATACAGATTTTTTTTTAAACATGGAGCAGTAAGGTGATGTTAAGTAAGATGTTAAACAGGAGCTAACAAGTCTACTTCATGTTAATATAAGTACAAAATCAACCGTTTTCTCTCAGCTTTATAATAATAATAATATGCCATTTAGCAGACGCTTTTACCCAAAGTGACTTATAGTCATGCGTGCATACATTTTTGTGTATGGGTGGTCCCGGGGATTGAACCCACTACTTTGGCGTTACAAGCGCCGTGCTCTACCAGCTGAGCTACAGAGGACCACAGCTTTAGAATACCTTTTATGATTAGACGGGGCCCTACGTTTCTACCATGAACGTTAATTGAGTGTATAATTTGTGGGCATATTAAGCTGTCCTTAGCCTGCGTGGAGGAACTGAGTTGGTTGGACAGAGATAGGCAGACTATTAGAGTAGCCTTCCATCAGCAAGTTTAGCCCTGGGTCTGGAATACTTCACTGGTGTTGGGAGTCAAATTATAACCCGAGGATTTCTCTTAACTTCTTGGAATAGAAAAGCTGCTGCTGTGACACCCCATACGAGTCAAATGGTTTAATTCAAGACCCATTGCCCCATGACTCCTCAAATGAACACAACAAACACATTTCATCTCCAACTTTCGCCAGGAAACAGCTGCGTACCTCTTTCTCTTTGAGTTTGACATGTTTCCCCATGTCCTTCTTCAGGAGTCACCTTTTAACTGTGTAATTGTACAGGTGAAAACAAAGGAACACATGGTTCCTCTTGTGATAATTGGGGAATGTATAACTTGATGCATATTGTTACTGTTCAAACATACATGCAATTAATGAAAGTCACAATATTCTCACAATGTTCTAATGGATGGAAACAGTTACATTTCCAACTCCTTTTTTAACTGGTAAATTCAATAGCATAGATAGAGGAAATAAGTATCCAGTATATTCTCTCTCTCTCTTTCTCCTCTCTCTCTCTTTCTCCTCTCTCTCTTTCTCCTTCGCTATCTCTATCTTCCTCTCTCTATACTTCTCCTCTATACTCTCTCTCCTCTATCTCTCTTCTACTCTCTTCTATCTACTCTCTCTCTCTTTCTCTCCATTCTCTCTCTCTCTCTACTCTCTCTCTCCTCTTTTTCTCCTCTTCTCTCTCTCTCTCTCTCTCTCTCTCTCTCTCTCTCTCTCTCTCTCTCTCTCTCTCTCTCTCTCTCTCCAGAGAAACAGTGCTGGCTCAGAGAACCCCAGTGATGTGTTCCGCTACGTGGTGGAGGAGCGTGTGCAGTGCTGCCAGACGCAGAGGGTGCGTTACAACCAGAAGGTGGACTACCTGATGCAGCTCCCGGTCCCCATGGAGGCTGCCTCCAACAGAGGTAAGATCCCACTGGCAGCTGGCCCTGCCCCGTGAGAACCAGCTCCTCTATACAATCACTAAACCCCAATCACCTGAGTCTGATGAAAACAACAGCGTTTCAGGAGGGTGTGTTAAATAGCTTTGTGTGTGTGTGTGACAGAGGAGCTGATAGTGTATGAGGCGAAGCGAAGAGAGGCAGAGGAAAACATGAGAGCCCCTCCAGAGCCTGTGAGGGCCCGGATCCCCTTCACAGCGTGCCTGCAGGCCTTCACAGAGCCAGAGAACGTCCCCGACTTCTGGAGCTCAGCACTGCAGGCCAAGTCAGCTGGAGTCAAGTAAGCAAGGTCCTGGTCTAAGGCCTGGAAGAAAGATCAATACCACACACTATTGAATGCTCCCTCAGTTCAGCAGTGTGTGGGGATCTTTCTTTCATGCCTTTGCTTTTTGTATCCTGCACCTGCAAGTTATTTTGCGATTTGAAAAGTCATAGTCAATCGATCAATAATAGTTTCTACAGATTGCTATATATTATTACTATGAGAATAGGAAGGTTCAGAACTTTTGTGAAACATCACAGCACAGTGGAAAAATATATGGCAGCTAGAAATCAAACTGGATGGTCTTCAGAGATATATGGGAGGGGTTGAGGGTAGCTGAAGGATGCGATTTAAAAACAAACAAAAGATAACTAATGTAAAATATACTGTGTCCGTAAAATGTATATACTATGTATAAGCTGGAAGTAAAAGTATTGTTGTCCATAAAAAATAAAGTAGTTCAATGCAAATATATTGGTACATAATACATTAACTATAGGGGAAATTTACCATTTTAAGTTTTAAATCTTGTAAATGAGTGAAAGATATTTATTCTTTTAATTAATGTTTCTGTATTATTGTCCTCTTTCCAGGACTTCCCGTTTCGCCTCCTTCCCAGAGTTTCTGGTAGTGCAGATAAAGAAATTCACATTTGGGGTTGACTGGGTTCCAAAGAAATTAGGTGAGTAAGAGAACTGATGTCTCTCCACAAATGGTTTGTCTTGTCTGCATCCATGATTGTCACTAGTACCAAGAGGATGCTGATTTCTGTTCAACTTTTGTGTCTACCCACATTGTGAAATTATATTAAGGGATTGAATGGCCTAGAATACTCTCTCTCTCTCCTTGTATCGTATTATTAAGTAAGTTCTGTGGATCCCCAGCAGAGGGCGTGGTCACACAGGGATTCACTGAGGTCCACTGAGGATGCAGACAGACAGTCTGGATCCAAACTTGAACTGAAGACTGATTTCATTAAGTGAAACAGAACAATTTAGTTTGAAAAAACGGTTATCTACAGTCGTGGTCAAAAGTTTTGAGAATGACACAAATACTAATTTTCACAAAGTCTGCTGCCTCAGTTTTGATGATGGCAATTTACATATACTCCAGAATGTCATGAAGAGTGATCAGATGAATTGCAATAAATTGCAAAGTCCCTCTTTGCCATGAAAATAAACGTAATCCCCCCCAAAAAAATGTCCACTGCATTTCAGCCCTGCCACAAAAGGACCAGCTGCCATCATGTCAGTGATTATCTCATTAACACAGGTGAGAGTGTTGACGAGGACAAGGCTGGAGATCACTCTGTCATGCTGATTGAGTTAGAATAACAGACTGGAAGATTTAAAAGGAAGGTGGTGCTTGAAATCATTGTTCTTCCTCTGTTAACCATGGCTACCTGCAAGGAAACACATGCCCCGTCATCATTGCTTTGCACAAAAAGGGCTTCACAGGCAAGGATATTGCTGCTAGTAAGATTGCACCTAAATCAACCATTTATCGGATCATCAAGAACTTCAAGGACAGAGGTTCAATTGTTGTGAAGAAGGCGTCAGGGCGACCAAGAAATCCAGCAAGCGCCAGGACCGTCTCCTAAAGTTGATTCAGCTGCGGGATCGGGGCACCACTAGTGCAGAGCTTGCTCAGGAATGGCAGCAGGCAGGGGTGAATGCATCTGTACGCACAGTGAGGCAAAGACTTTTGGAGGATGGCCTGGTGTCAAGAAGGACAGCAAAGAAGCCACTTCTCTCCTGGAAAAACATCAGGAACAGACTGATATTCTGCAACAGGTACAGGGATTGGACTGCTGAGGACTGGGGTAAAGTCATTTTCTCCCTTTCCGAATGTTTGGGGCATCCGGAAAAAAGCTTGTCCGGAGAAGACAAGGTGAGCGATACCATCAGTCCTGTGTTATGCCAACAGTAAAGCATCCTGAGACCATTCATGTGTGGGGTTACTTCTCAGCCAAGGGAGTGGGCTCACTCACACTTTTGCCTAAGAACACAGCCATGAATAAAGAATGGTACCAACACATCCTCCGAGAGGAACTTCTCCCAGCCATCCAAGAACAGTTTGGTGACGACCAATGCCTTTTCCAGCATGATGGAGCACCTTGCCATAAGGCAAAAGTGATAACTAAGTGGCTCGGGGAACAAAACATCGAAATGTTGGGTCCATGGCCAGGAAACTCCCCAGACCTTAATCCCATTGAGAACTTGTGGTCGATCCTCAAGAGGCGGGTGGACAAACAAAAACCCACAAATTCAGACAAACTCCAAGCATTGATTATGCAAGAATGGGCTGCCATCAGTCAGGATGTGGTCCAGAAGTTAATTGACAGCATGCCAGGGTGGATTGCAGAGGTCTTGAAAAAGAAAGGTCAACACTGCAAATATTGACTCTTTGCATAAACTTAATGTAATTGTCAATTAAAAGCCTTTGACACTTATGGAATGCTTGTAATTATACTTCAGTATACCACAGTAACATCTGACAAAAAATATCTCATAACACTGAAGCAGCGAACTTTTGTGAAGACCAATACTTGTGTCATTCTCAAAACTTTTGACCACGACTGTAAGCTCTTGCTCTACCTGTGTTTTTAGGATTGAGGAAGGTTAACTATTTATAAGCAATGTTACTCTTGCATCATCATCGTGCCATTCAGACTTGTTTTTCTTTTTTCGTCTGGTTTTCATCTTAGTCGACTGAAGTAAAAAACAAGTCTGGTTTCTTTGAGTTTCGTGGCTCTTGATCTTGTGATGTTCCCATGTGTTTAATATGAAGCTGAGTGCTGTGGTGCAGGGCCACCTGTACAGGACAGATAGGTAGGGGTTAAAGGCATATTCGATGTTCTCTGATACTGATACGCTACATCTTGTGTTTGGTACTGTGGCTCTAGTGGTGAACATGAACGCTCTCAGTTTGATCATGTGTCATCTGCTGGAATCTTCATGCCCAAGTCCTCTCTAGTCTGGTTTTCTCCTTTCCCAGTCCATTCTATAGCAGAATCTCTGTGTCGCGTTTTATATGGACACACAACCAAAAACGTTTTGCAACAGAGAACTAAAATGAGCATTGATTATTGGACAAATTCCGGTAGTCCCTCCCTGTTCGTCCGTTTTGTGCCTTATGAGCACAACCCAGTTGTGTTTGACCTCTGACCTGCTGTTGTTCCACAGATCTGTCCATAGATGTCCCAGACTTCCTGGACCTGTCTCGACTCCGGGGCACAGGGCTGCAGGCAGGAGAGGAAGAGCTCCCTGACATCACCCCCCCCATTGTCCTGCCTGAAGACACCAGAGGTAAGGGTCACTTTCAGGTGTGCCGGTTGGAAGCAGTGTTGACTTTCGGACCAATGGTGTTGGTCTTAAAAGAAAGCTGGTGTTCGGGGCGAGCTAAATCTGTCATTTGTCTCACCAGCCACTTGGTGTCCTGGGATGTTAACTATCCATTTTCCCCTCCTCTCTTCCCCCTAAGTGTGAGACTGTTTTGTAGTTGACATGCTCAGTATGCCCCTCTACTCCCTCCGTGATCTTTATCTCCATTCTTCCTTCAGAGGCGGTTGTTTGGATGGATTTAGCAACTGTGCGCTGTTCATATTTTAGCAGGTACCAGGCACATCGTGTGCCGCACAGTCCTAAACCCCAAAACACTTGAAATGTGCTCCAGGCAAGGAATCAAGATCTCTATAGTGCTTTGTTGACGCCAATGGCTGTCTTGTAAAAGCTGCCTCAACCTTGTTAAAGACCTCTTAAGCTGACAGTCCCCGACATCGGGCACTAGAATTACTTACAAAAAATATGTGTATGTTTACATGTCGGAAGACAGCCATCCAGACCTTCCTAGGACGATGTCAACATCCTCTGTCGAATAAACGTGTATTTGCCTCCCTCTGGTGGTCGGCTGCACCATTACATCCATTTATATCACTTCAATGCAATGTTATTTCAAAAGGGCGGTCCTTAGAAAAACATCTATCCAGCTTGACTGCTTCACGACACAGACATGGCAAAGCAATCGCTGAATTGCTACTACATTAATAAAATATTGCCCTCTTGCTAGATTGATGACTAAAACCATAGCGAAACAGTGCAAAATGGCTCCGGCTTTAAAAGTTCAAACTATTTCTATTTCAGCAGATGAGTATAACCAAAATATAGTCTTCCCCCTACACAAAGTGTTGCTTTTTGGGGTAATGCCCAAGGGGACGCTAGAGGTGTTTTCATTGGAGTGATTTCATTCACTTTTATGAGTCCTCGTCTTATGGGCTTTTCCTGAAAACCTAACAAAGCAGTTGGAGATTTGTTTTCTCTCAGAGTTGAATATCTTATATCCTATCTTTTGAGGGAGGAGTCCGACCGCCCTACCTACATAATGTAAATAGTGGTACACAATGTTGTTTATAATGCTTTTGTGATTTATGTAGTCTTTGCCAGAGCTCCAAAAGTCCAAATATTAAACACCAACCCGTTGTCCCTGGGCCTGTATCAATAGATATTAATTACATTTCTGTCTCGGACAACGCCTGAGGACTTCCGATTGATTTGCGAGTTTCAAGTAAATGTGTTTCTTTTTGCACCTTGAAATGCATCATTTCCCATCAATTAGCTTTACGGATTTAGCATTGATTTGCCATTTGTTAATAGAGAAAATCCCCAGTACAAAGAAGTTTACCGCCTTGAGCCATAATAGTCAATACTTGTTTTCAGTGGAACAACATTTGTTATTAAAACTGAAGTGTGACCTGAATTGTAGGGATGCTGTTTAGGTCCATGTTAGATTTTTTTTCCTAACCACATATTGAGAGAATCCATCTAATAGGTCAGATGCTGTATCTACTACACTGTTGGATTTAGCTAGTCAAAAATACATGTTTATGTTGTTCCTTGAAAATAATCACTTCTTCTTCACTTTACTTTTCAGACAACTCGATGAACTCCTCAGATTGTAAGTATTCCATCCTGCCCCTATATATACAGTATCTAACCCAAAGCAAAGATTTGCGACAAGGGAACAACTGTTATTCTGAGTTCTGCAGTAATGACAATATAAGGGAACAACTGTTATTCTGAGTTCTGCAGTAATGACAATATAAGCCTGACGATGCAAACGACCCAACAGCTGATGCAACCTCCTCGTAACTTTTTTTTTTTGGGGGGGGCAGGTTGTTTGTTATTCGGCTGTTTTTGATTAGTAAGCCCTGGGTAAGATACAGTGGTTGTTTTTTTGCTTGTCCTCAGCCCCAGATATAGACGAGTCGTCGGCGATGCAGCTGGCGGAGATGGGCTTCCCTCTGGAGGCCTGTCGGAAGGCCGTTTACTACACAGGGAACATGGGCCCTGAGATGGCCTTCAACTGGATCATAGCCCACATGGAGGAACCTGGTAAGAGCTAGGAGACCATCACACACAGACAGACCGTACCACATGGATGTTAATCTAGCCCGATTTTCCCCAGCCTCTTCTGGGTTTGGTGGGGGGTGTACAGTAGTGCACGCACTAAAAACATCACTGAAATGACGTGTGTGTCAGAGCAGGAGACAGGCCAGTGTGCCAGAGTCCCCAGCCGCCTTTTGAGGGAGTGTTCGTGCGTGTGTGCATTTGTGTGTGGGTACGTGCGTGTTAAGTCAGTGGGCCTGTGTGGCTGAGTTGTCAGGGAATACTTTGTCACCCTGAGGCTCTGTCATTTCATTCTGGTTGCTGGCTACTGAAGGACTAATATAGTTGCATAATTCTCAATGGGTAATTCATAACTACGTGCTGTAACTGTATGTTGTTTTTGTTGCTTATACGAATGTAAATAGATTGTTTTAATGTCCAATACTAAAGCGCTCAGCTAATTGTAAATGAATAGGTCACAAGACAAAAGGTCACAAGTTTTGGAAACTTAACATACAGACAGTTGGAAGACAAAAAGTGTCCATTTTAATTCCTAGCAGGCAACGGTAATGAAAGCTGTGGTGATAGTTAACAGCAGGGTAAGTTGGGTATAACCCTTTGTTTACCAACACCCACTCCTCGAGCGGTTCTACCTATCACACCTCACTTCCTTTATCTCTTCCTTCTCCTCGTTCGACATGGAGCGATATTATTGGACCAGGGATGAACGCCAACAAGGCCTTCCATTCTAATTCTTGTCCATTTACTACTCTGCCTGGTATACTTAATGTTGATCATGAAAGCATATTTTAGGATTTGATAGGTCGTTTTAAGCTTGTGAGGTCTTTAAAGGGGAGTTAAACCTTTGATTTCTGAGAGAAAACTGACAACAAAAACCATCAATAATAATGAATAATAACAATAATAATTGGTATAATCACCACTGGACCAAAAGGTTTTCCTCCCACCTCTGGGAAATAATCATCCTGTGTGCATGAAGAATGCTTATTTACCTAACATTTTGTTTTGGAGCGGGTTGAAAAATATATTTAAAAAAAGCTATCCATTACTTAAATTCCTATTTTCATATTTACTTCCTAATGACACTTTTGTGTGAATAGTTTGTCCCTTCCACATTACATTACGCCAATTCCCAGCAAGCTGTCAAAAGATGACTAAATAGTTCCCTCCAGATTTCTATGATGGGGTAAATTAATCTTCCTGCTACTAGTTAGGTTTCCCATCCTAGGTGTGAATGTATCATTACCATGGGCCTGTCACAGCAACGACAACCTTTCCAATTTCTCACATAAACGATACCTGATTTAGCAATCCTCAAATCGTGAAATACAGTGGGGAAAAAAAGTATTTAGTCAGCCACCAATTGTGCAAGTTCTCCCACTTAAAAAGATGAGAGAGGCCTGTAATTTTCATCATAGGTACACGTCAACTATGACAGACAAAATTAGATTTTTTTTCTCCAGAAAATCACATTGTAGGATTTTTTCTGAATTTATTTGCAAATTATGGTGGAAAATAAGGTATTTGGTCAATAACAAAAGTTTCTCAATACTTTGTTATATACCCTTTGTTGGCAATGACACAGGTCAAACGTTTTCTGTAAGTCTTCACAAGGTTTTCACACACTGTTGCTGATATTTTGGCCCATTCCTCCATGCAGATCTCCTCTAGAGCAGTGACGTTTTGGGGCTGTCGCTGGGCAACACGGACTTTCAACTCCCTCCAAAGATTTTCTATGGAGTTGAGATCTGGAGACTGGCTAGGCCACTCCAGGACCTTGAAATGCTTCTTACAAAGCCACTCCTTCGTTGCCCGGGCGGTGTGTTTGGGATCATTGTCATGCTGAAAGACCCAGCCACGTTTCATCTTCAATGCCCTTGCTGATGGAAGGAGGGTTTCACTCAAAATCTCACGATACATGGCCCCATTCATTCTTTCCTTTACACGGATCAGTCGTCCTGGTACCTTTGCAGAAAAACAGCCCCAAAGCATGATGTTTCCACCCCCATGCTTCACAGTAGGTATGGTGTTCTTTGGATGCAACTCAGCATTCTTTGTCCTCCAAACACGACGAGTTGAGTTTTTACCAAAAAGTTCTATTTTGGTTTCATCTGACCATATGACATTCTCCCAATCCTCTTCCGGATCATCCAAATGCACTCTAGCAAACTTCAGATGGGCCTGGACATGTACTGGCTTAAGCAGGGGGACACGTCTTGCACTGCAGGATTTGAGTCCCTGGCGGCGTAGTGTGTTACTGATGGTAGGCTTTGTTACTTTGGTCCCAGCTCTCTGCAGGTAATTCACTAGGTCCCCCCGTGTGGTTCTGGGATTTTTGCTCACCGTTCTTGTGATAATTTTGACCCGACGGGGGGAGATCTTGCGTGGAGCCCCAGATCGAGGGAGATTATCAGTGGTCTTGTATGTCTTCCATTTCCTAATAATTGCTCCCACAGTTGATTTCTTCAAACCAAGCTGCTTACCTATTGCAGATTCAGTCTTCCCAGCCTGGTGCAGGTCTACAATTTTGTTTCTGGTGTCCTTTGATAGCTCTTTGGTCTTGGCCATAGTGGAGTTTGGAGTGTGACTGTTTGAGGTTGTGGACAGGTATCTTTTATACTGATAACAAGTTCAAACAGGTGCCATTAATACAGGTAATGAGTGGAGGACAGAGGAGCCTCTTAAAGAAGAAGGTACAGGTCTGTGAGAGCCAGAAATCTTGCTTGTTTGTAGGTGACCAAATACTTATTTTCCACCATAATTTGCAAATAAATTCATTAAAAATCCTACAATGTGATTTTCTGGATTTGTTTTTCTCATTTTGTCTGTCATAGTTGACGTGTACCTATGATGAAAATGACAGGCCTCTCATCTTTTTAAGTGGGAGAACTTGCACAATTGGTGGCTGACTAAATACTTTTTTCCCCCACTGTATCACTGTTCAAGTAAATAACAAGTTATCCATTGGTAAACGAAGGGTTACCTTAAGACAGAAAAACACAGCATTCAGTGCATGTTTTTTCAGGCTTCATTACTTGTATGTGCGTAGCGGTGTCCATTGTTCTGCTAATTGACATGCTTCTGTTTTTGAAGAAATTCTAAATAAATATGCTTTCCACAGGAACATGCCAGAGACATATTTGCATGACACAATCGTTTTCCTTCAAATATTTGGTTTTCCTTCAAATATTTGAAATATTGAGTGTTTTATGCACACATGTTTGTGTGTTTGTTTTAATAACAGCCTATTTATGTGTATGTGTTTGAGCACACACAGTCAACTTGCACAGGTGTGTAACAACTATGTAAATTAATTGGGCCCCAACTGGTTCAAACTAGGGTATAAAATGTTTATAGAGAACTGACGTCTTTCAAAGACTGTTGTATTGTAACTTTTTTAAAGCTGCCACCTGTTTTATTTGATTCCCTCCTAAATCCTTAACTGCTCTTGTGGAATTGCTTTTTAATATGCATGATGCATCAGCCAGCCTAGTGGCACCCTCCCTGACATTATTATAAACTCAGTATTAATGTTCTCCGAGATTTACTGTGGCAGTCGTTTTCTGACTGTAAATTATCCACCTGTCTTTTTCTGTACCCTGTATTATTTCTGTTATAATCATATCAACAGTCCTTTTAACTGATCGTCCAGTGTGCTCTTCCTGATTTTGACCTTTGACCTTATTATGAACATAGATTATGTATTATATTGACAAGATAGTTGAGTGAACGCTCTAACAATGGAAATACATGTCCTGGGTGGCACAGCGGTCAAAAGCACTGTGCTGCCGTGCAGAGGTGCCACTACAGCCTGGGCTTCGATCACAACCGGCCGTGATCGGGAGGGTTTGGCTGGTGGGGCTTTCCTTGGCTCATCATGCTCTTGTGACAGGGCTGGGCGCCTGCAAGCTGACTCCGGTCGTCAGTCGAACAGTGTTTCATCCGACACATTGGTGCGGCTGACATCCGGGTCAAGCGAGCAGTGTGATAAGAAGTAGGCAGCCAGGCGGGTCATGTTTCAGAGGACGCATGACTCGACCTTCGCCTCTCCCGAGCCCATTGAGGAGTTACAGAGATGAGCCAAGGGACCTAATTAAAAAAATAATAATGCTTGTGGCCATACCACCCTTAATACGCCTGTTCAGGGTCGGGCCTGGTTAGCACTGGGACGGGAGACCGCCTGGGAATACCAGGTGCCATAAGCAAAACAAGGAAATACATGTCCTCAAAGATGGAAGGTCGGGCGGAAGGAGGCGAGATCAGATAGGATCATTCTAGCCAATGAGAGGGCAGATACGCCTGTGAACAACAGGCACAACTTCGATATGTAGTCGTTTTTAATTAAGTTCCGAAATGCCACGTAAGTCCACTTATATAAATGTATTCGTAACAACCTAACTATTATGAAATGTATATTCGATCAAATAAGCCTAACATACCAAATTAGCAATTACATATATTTTGACCAAATCCGACACTCTCATTGACCTCCATACAAAAGTCCCTCACTCGTGGACTTATTTTCGTGGACAGATTTTGGGCAGAGTAAAACCTCTTCCTCTTTGTTACGAACCATATTTATATTAGATCTCACTCTCTCATTATCCTCTCTCTCTCTCTCTCTCTCTCTCTCTCTCTCTCTCTCTCTCTCTCTCTCTCTCTCTCTCTCTCTCTCTCTCTCTCTCTCTCTCTCCTTCCTCTTCTCCAGACTTTGCTGAGCCCCTGGCCCTACCCTCCTTCATGGAGCCAGGCCCCTCCGTGGCCAGCCTGGGCCTGTCAGCCACCCCCCTGGACAACCATCCTCCAGAGGAGAGCATCGCCATCCTCACGTCCATGGGCTTCCCCCGCCGTCACACCGTCCAGGCCCTCAAAGCCACGGTCAGTGCCTCTCTTTCTTCTCCCACTGCTCACACACTCACTCTGGTGAAAACCACACAAACATATTGTCCAGGACGCATTCAATAGGCGGTAGTGCTTTGGTCGTTTTTTAATGAAGCTTGTTCAAATGTGAGTTGGTATAATGCAGAGGTGTATGTACTGTATTCAGGAGCGTGGACAATAAACAGTATCAAAAGATGTCAAAAATGGAAAGGGAGACCTTTATCATGTTTTAAGTAGGTTAATTTCCCAAAAAAGTTTTAACCAATATGTTCTATTTCTCCGTCTGATCTTGGGCTTGCTATTTCTATTTTGGACACATCATGGCCAGACATAGTGCCATTGATATGCAGTAGGAAGAATGGGGTTGCTTTCTATAGTGCCGAACCGTGCTGGAGTCAGGAGAACCTGAGAATCCTGCCCCCTGAGCTATAAACAACTTGGCTGGCCATTTTAATAACCCCTTCATGTCCTTAGTGTCTCGAGATCCCTGTTCTACGTTCTGTTTACAAATAGAGCAATGAGCCTAGCTATGCACTTTCAGCTTTTCAGTTCTATGAGTCAGATCGGTGCATGTCATACGTGCAACTATAGCACAGTCATTTTTATGCGTTTGCTTGTGTGTTCCTAAAATGTACCTTTACAATTAAGCTAGGAAACAACTCATTTATTCAATTACGTTATGAATTGTATAACACCACGATATATAAAAGTAGAATTCCATTATAGTGGCTCATATTTTATGATGATCTCGGGTTTCTTTTGTCACCTGCCCTATCAGCATAAAACAGACTGATTTCCTGGTTTACCGTTTCTAACAACCCCAAACCCCATAAAAAAGCCCAGGGTCCTCGTGAGTGGAGTAGGGGTGTGAAACAGCAGAATGTATTTTTAATAATATCCCAGTGAACAGAGAGTGAGCATGCAGGAAGTGTGCAACCTCACTGGCCTGCCTGTCTTTCTGTCTGTCTACCTGCCTGCCTGTCTGTCTGCCTGCCTGCCTGCCTACCTGCCTGCCTGTCTGTCTGTCTGTCTGTCTGTCTGTCTGTCTGCCTGTCTGTCCTGTCTGTCTGTCTGGTCTGTCTGTCTGTCCTGTCTGTCTGTCTGTCTGTCTGTCTGCCTGTCTGCCTGTCTGCCTGTCTGTCTGTCTGTCTGTCTGTCTGTCTGTCTGTCTGTCTGCCTGCCTGCCTGCCTGTCTGTCTGTCTGTCTGTCTGTCTGTCTGTCTGCCTGCCTGCCTGCCTGCCTGCCTGTCTTTCTGGTCTGCCTGTCTGTCTGTCTGTCCTGCCTGCCTGTCTGTCGTCCTTGCCTGCCTGCCTGCCTGCCTGCCTCCTGCCTGCCTGCCTGCCTGCCTGCTGCTGCCTGCCTGCCTGCCTGCTGCCTGCCTGCCTGCCTGCCTGCCTGCCTGCCTGCCTGCCTGCTCCTGCCTGCCTGCCTGCCTGCCTGCTGCCTGCTGCCTGCCTGCCTGCCTGCCTGCCTGCCTGCCTGCCTGCCGCCTCCTGCCTGCCTGCCTCTGCCTGCCTGCCTGCCTGCCGCCTGCTGCCTGCCTGCCTGCCTGCCTGCCTGCCTGCCTGCCTGCCTGCCTGCCTGCCTGCCTGCCTGCCTGCCTGCCTGCCTGCCTGCCTGCCTGCCTGCCTGCCTGCCTGCCTGCCTGCCTGTCTGCCTGGGTATGGCCAGAAAAAGCAGGCTGCATGAGATCATTCTCCCCCATGTGCTCTCGGCACTGGCGTCTGTGGTGAATGAATCAGACCTCTATTTCGGATTAAAGGCTGAGGCTAATTGAGGGAATTGACCATACATGGAGAAAGAAAGTGATGTTGGATAAAAAATTTTTGATGTCACCAATCCTGTTACATTTTGGTTTTGACGCTGTCAATCCTGTTACACACTGGTGACAATTGTCCATCTTATGAGACCTCTGAGTTTGAGAGAAGACTGAGGGGAGACAGGAAAACATGACATCTGTTGTTTCAGAACAACAACTTGGAGAGGGCTCTGGACTGGATCTTCACCCACCCGGAGAGGGAGGAGGAAGAGACTAGTGACGACTTGTCGGACATGGCCGACACCACGGAGCCCGACGACAACACCTTCTCCAACGCCAACACCAACAGCCACTCCACACTGTCCCCAGACCAGGACGGCTCGGGCCCCCGAATCAAAGACGGACCCGGACGTGAGTGACTCCGCATGACCTCTGTCCTCAGACACTGATCTAGGGTCAGATCCACCCTCCCCAGTCCTATCCCTAACCATTATCTAAGATCCACCCTCCCCAGTCCTATCCATAACCATTATCTAAGATCCACCCTCCCCAGTCCTATCCATAACCATTATCTAAGATCCACCCTCCCCAGTCCTATCCATAACCATTATCTAAGATCAGCTCCTCCCCAGTCCTATCCATAACCATTATCTAAGATCCACCCTCCCCAGTCCTATCCATAACCATTATCTAAGATCCACCCTCCCCAGTCCTATCCATAACCATTATCTAAGATCCACCCTCCCCAGTCCTATCCATAACCATTATCTAAGATCCACCCTCCCCAGTCCTATCCCTAACCATTATCTAAGATCCACCCTCCCCAGTCCTATCCCTAACCATTATCTAAGATCCACCCTCCCCAGTCCTATCCCTAACCATTATCTAAGATCCACCCTCCCCAGTCCTATCCCTAACCATTATCTAAGATCCACCCTCCCCAGTCCTATCCCTAACCATTATCTAAGATCCACCCTCCCCAGTCCTATCCCTAACCATTATCTAAGATCCACCCTCCCCAGTCCTATCCCTAACCATTATCTAAGATCCACCCTCCCCAGTCCTATCCCTAACCATTATCTAAGATCCACCCTCCCCAGTCCTATCCCTAACCATTATCTAAGATCCACCCTCCCCAGTCCTATCCATAACCATTATCTAAGATCCACCCTCCCCAGTCCTATCCATAACCATTATCTAAGATCCACCCTCCCCAGTCCTATCCATAACCATTATCTAAGATCCACCCTCCCCAGTCCTATCCCTAACCATTATCTAAGATCCACCCTCCCCAGTCCTATCCCTAACCATTATCTAAGATCCACCCTCCCCAGTCCTATCCCTAACCATTATCTAAGATCCACCCTCCCCAGTCCTATCCCTAACCATTATCTAAGATCCACCCTCCCCAGTCCTATCCATAACCATTATCTAAGATCCACCCTCCCCAGTCCTATCCATAACCATTATCTAAGATCCACCCTCCCCAGTCCTATCCCTAACCATTATCTAAGATCCACCCTCCCCAGTCCTATCCCTAACCATTATCTAAGATCCACCCTCCCCAGTCCTATCCCTAACCATTATCTAAGATCCACCCTCCCCAGTCCTATCCCTAACCATTATCTAAGATCCACCCTCCCCAGTCCTATCCCTAACCATTATCTAAGATCCACCCTCCCCAGTCCTATCCCTAACCATTATCTAAGATCCACCCTCCCCAGTCCTATCCATAACTATTATCTAAGATCCACCCTCCCCAGTCCTATCCATAACCATTATCTAAGATCCACCCTCCCCAGTCCTATCCATAACCATTATCTAAGATCCACCCTCCCCAGTCCTATCCATAACCATTATCTAAGATCCACCCTCCCCAGTCCTATCCCTAACCATTATCTAAGATCCACCCTCCCCAGTCCTATCCCTAACCATTATCTAAGATCCACCCTCCCCAGTCCTATCCCTAACCATTATCTAAGATCCACCCTCCCCAGTCCTATCCATAACCATTATCTAAGATCCACCCTCCCCAGTCCTATCCCTAACCATTATCTAAGATCCACCCTCCCCAGTCCTATCCCTAACCATTATCTAAGATCCACCCTCCCCAGTCCTATCCCTAACCATTATCTAAGATCCACCCTCCCCAGTCCTATCCCTAACCATTATCTAAGATCCACCCTCCCCAGTCCTATCCCTAACCATTATCTAAGATCCACCCTCCCCAGTCCTATCCATAACCATTATGTAAGATCAGCTCCTCCCTCCCCAGTTCAGCTCCTCCCTCCCCAGATCAGCTCCGCCCTCCCCAGATCAGCTCCGCCCTCCCCAGATCAGCTCCGCCCTCCCCAGATCAGCTCCTCCCTCCCCAGATCAGCTCCGCCCTCCCCAGATCAGCTCCTCCCTCCCCAGATCAGCTCCACCCCCTCCAGTCCTATCCATAACCATTATGAGCAAAATGACAAAAGGAGAAGAATTCCACACATACAGATGTAGCAGAGGAGCTGGATCTAAAATATATTTTGCTGCTTTGAATAGAAAACAAATGTTCTCTCACTGCTTGCTGCACTAAAATGATGGAACACCTGCTGTTTGTAGGTACATTTTGAACAAAATCTGCCTTTCACCAATTGTGAAGGGCTACACTTCCGCTTCCATTCTAACACCATTCTGTAAAAGGAAGGTAGCGCACTGTTTTTAGTCACATTTTTGGTTTACGATTTTAATTCAACTGAACATGTAAATTCATAGCATGTTTGAGGAGACTCCTGCTATTCAGGATCTCAGAATATTTGATTTTGAACTCACAAATAGAAATCATGGACCTGTCTCTCTCCAAGTACCCTATGAATGCTTTCAAGGTAAGAAAGACATCCCTTAACACTAGAGATAGGATCAGATGAGGATTAAAAGACATCCATAGCACTAGAGATAGGATCAGATGAGGATTAAAAGACATCCATAGCACTAGAGATAGGATCAGATGAGGATTAAAAGACATCCATAGCACTAGAGATAGGATCAGATGAGGATTAAAAGACATCCCTTAACACTAGAGATAGGATCAGATGAGGATTAAAAGACATCCATAGCACTAGAGATAGGATCAGATGAGGATTAAAAGACATCCATAGCACTAGAGATAGGATCAGATGAGGATTAAAAGACATCCATAGCACTAGAGATAGGATCAGATGAGGATTAAAAGACATCCATAGCACTAGAGATAGGATCAGATGAGGATTAAAAGACATCCATAGCACTAGAGATAGGATCAGATGAGGATTAAAATACATCCATAGCACTAGAGATAGGATCAGATGAGGATTAAAAGACATCCATAGCACTAGAGATAGGATCAGATGAGGATTAAAATACATCCATAGCACTAGAGATAGGATCAGATGAGGATTAAAAGACATCCCTTAACACTAGAGATAGGATCAGATGAGGATTAAAAGACATCCATAGCACTAGAGATAGGATCAGATGAGGATTAAAAGACATCCATAGCACTAGAGATAGGATTAGATGAGGATTAAAAGACATCCATAGCACTAGAGATAGGATCAGATGAGGATTAAAAGACATCCATAGCACTAGAGATAGGATCAGATGGGATTAAAAATACATCCATAGCCACTAGAGATAGGATCAGATGAGGATTAAAAGACATCCATAGCACTAGAGATAGGATCAGATGAGGATTAAAAGACATCCATAGCACTAGAGATAGGATCAGATGAGGATTAAAAGACATCCCTTAACATAGAGATAGGATCAGATGAGGATTAAAAGACATCCATAGCACTAGAGATAGGATCAGATGAGGATTAAAAGACATCCATAGCACTAGAGATAGGATCAGATGAGGATTAAAAGACATCCATAGCACTAGAGATAGGATCAGATGAGGATTAAAAGACATCCATAGCACTAGAGATAGGATTAGATAGTTGCTGAAAGTGATAGTTGTGTCTTATGAGCCGGTTTTACAAGCTTGTCCTTATGGCTATATTGTAGGCTAAATGCATCTGTTCTGTTGACAAGGGAGTTGTAGTTTTGCGTAATGATTGGTTTGACTTCCTGTTTTGCAGGTTACGAGCTTTTTGCTTTCATCAGCCACATGGGAGCGTCCACGATGTCTGGTCACTATGTATGTCATATCAAAAAGGAAGGAAGGTAAGTCCGTCACAATTTACATACTCTCCATTGATCTCTGCTAGATGATTAAACCACAATCTCTTTCACAATGAAGGATTTCAAATGAATGATATAAACAGACTGTTTCCCGACCTAGCCCTTTGGGACCACCAGCTGTTGCACTGCACATAATATTTGAGCTATTCCAACACTAGCGCTCCTGATTCAACTAATCAAGGGCATGATCATTAGTTGACGAGTTGAATCAGGTTTGCTAGATTTGGAGTCAATCAAGTATTATCTTTGATCGCGACTAGTGGTCCTCACAGACCAGATTGGGAAACACTGTCCTAAGAGACTGATTTAGATCATTTTGTAATCAGTAGTACAATGTGGCATTTAGAAATCAAGACGAAACTAAATGTATAGATGAGGTTTTAACACAATGCGTTACCTATGCTATATCCCCCCCCCCCCCCCCCCCCCTCCCACGTCAGATGGGTGATCTTCAACGACCACAAAGTGTGCTTGTCAGAAAGACCTCCAAAAGACTTGGGCTACATCTACTTTTACCGTCGGCTGTCTAGCTGCTAGACCTAGGCCCCCTCCCTCCTCCCCACCATCCAACCTTAGAGAGCCACAGCCTGGAAACCAGAAGACAACCACGACTACAGTGGAACCCATGGAAACACTTACACCCCAGACCAGCCAAAGAACCGAGAGCTCAACTCATCCGTCACTCAAGAGCAACAGGAAAATTCTTCGTACATCAAGTGCGGTCAAAAAAAAAAGGGAAAGCAGTGTGCTTTTTGTATGTCACTGTGATAAACGTGTGCTTTTGTGTATTGAAACGTGTTATTTGTCTACGGTGTCGGTACAGAGGGATGTGTGCAATTTTTTGTTATTGGAGGGCTCTACACGTATAGTATTAGTGGATCAGATCTTGCTATTAATTTTCTATGCCTTCAGCTACTGCGGTGGTATTTTTATTAAAGTGCTACATTTTATAAACATGGAGCATGGTCCTGAAGTGGTCACGCATCACTGCCAGCTCTGAAACTCTCTGAAGCGAAACTCTACAAAAAAAAAATCACAATGCTGCTGGGAGCTTTGCATGTACAGATGTAGGATCTTAATTTGACCAGTTTCTTAAAGCAGGAAAAGAATCCTGTAGCAACAGGAAATGTGAATTCTTGTGTGGATTATAATGAATGGACATTTTTGTAGGGGTTGATTTACATTTTTAGTTGGGGCAAATCATATGATGAAAAAACGCATCAAACTGTGACACTTTCTGTATTTTGAAAGTTCTATATTTTGAAAACTAGAATTGTGGGACTGTATCAACTGTGGAGTAATGAAACAAATACTAAAATATAGTTTTTTTTTTTTTTTAGTGGTATTTTCCTTTAACATGTGATGCAGGATAGAATCATGATGGCATTGAATGCAGAGAAATGGCCAGCATAGGCAAGTTTCAGAATAGGGAAAAACATTTGAAAAAACGCTCATCTATGATGAACACTTACACATGGGACTCCATGAATATGGAATATCCTTATTGGAGGGTCCGATGTACGTAATGATGGTGTCATGATAGTCACATGTCTGGTTTTGACTTGCAGATGACATCTAGGTTTTTCTGGGCTTCAGAGGAGAAACGGTGACAGTTGAACGAGTCAAGTTGAGTCAAGTCCATTTCATTTCCCACGAGAACAAGAGAATGTTGTTTTTTATTGAAATCTGAAAGCACTTTTCGACAGAATCTTTTATATCCCTGCTTTTCATATAGAAATAGAACATTAGCATATCAGCCACCTTGGATCAGATACCCCAAACTGATGTTATTCACTTTTCTTGAATGTGGTAAAAGCTAGTGACTGAATGTGGTAAAAGCTAGTGTCTGAATGTGGTAAAAGCTAGTGACTGAATGTGGTAAAAGCTAGTGACTGAATGTGGTAAAAGCTAGTGACTGAATGTGGTGGTAACAAAACATTTGACTTGTTATATCATAACCATAGACCATGTTGCGATTACGTATACTGCATTCATACAGTTGTTGCTTCACATAAAATTCAACACCGTAAGTGGAAAATGCCTTGGATCCGTTTTCCTCAGATCAGATTGGCCATGGTGACTAGCAATGCAGAAAATCTGAATCCATTAGATAAAAGGCCCACACAAGTTTTGCGGCAGGTAGCTTAGTGGTTAAGAGCGTTGTGCCAGTAACCGTAAAGGTTGCTGGTTCTAATCCCTGAGCCGACTAGGTGAAAAATCTGTCGACGTGCCCTTGAGCAAGGCACTTAACCCTGATTGCTCCTGTAAGTCGCTCTTGATAAGAGCGTCTGCTAAAATGTAAATCTATAAATATTTTTGCTATTGTATACAATATTCTAAGGAAACCCACTTTGGTTGCTCACCTAATATGAATACATTTTGTGGAAGGACAGACGACACACTAACTCATGAGGTAAATGTTTGCCCATTATGGCAGTCCTCAAATTGTGTCCTTAAATGTTACCGTGTTTGTATCCATCTTTTCAATGCAGAATGTATGCATTTGAACACATCCAGCTGTGTTTAATTATTATAGCAATATGCACTGGGACTGAATCTCTTCTCTTGAGAATAGACCATGTACTGTAGGTTATGACCTACTGTTTTGTTTCAGAATGCGTTCTCGTACTTTTAAGACGTGGTGCAGTGCTGAATGTATTCCTTATGGTGCTCACTGCAACCAAAACCTCTCTTCAGCGTTAATGCTCAAATCTAACACATATCAAATACCTTACTGATGCATAGTCACCAACCCTTGTGTACAGTTGAAGTCGATACACCTTAGCCAAATACATTTAAACTCAGTTTTTCACAATTCCTGACATTTAATCCTAGTAAAAATTCCCTGTCTTAGGTCAGTTGGGATCACCACTTTATTTTAAGAATGTAAAATGTCAGAATAATAGTAGAGAGAATTATTTATTTCAGCTTTTATTTCTTTCATCACATTCCCAGTTTGTCAGAAGTTTACATACACTCAATTAGTATTTGGTAGCATTGCCTTTAAATAGTTTAACTTGGGTCAAACGTTTCGGGTAGCCTTCCACAAACTTCCCACAATAAGTTGGGTGAATTTTGGCCCATTCCTCCTGACAGAGCTGGTGTAACTGAGTCAGGTTTGTAGGCCTCCTTGCTCGCACACGCTTTTTCAGTTCTGCCACAAATTTTCTATAGGATTGAGGTCAGGGCTTTGTGATGGCCATTCCAATACCTTGACTTTGTTGTGCTTAAGCCATTTTGCCACAACTTTGGAAGCATGCTTGGGGTCGTTGTCCATTTGGAATTCCCATTTGCAACCAAGCTTTAACTTCCTGACTGATGTCTTGAGATGTTGCTTCAATATATCCACATAATTTTCCTTCCTCATGATGCCATCTATTTTGTGAAGTGCACCAGTCCCTCCTGCAGCAAAGCACCCCCACAGCATGATGCTGCCACCCCCGCGCTTCACGGTTGGGATGGTGTTCTTTGGCTTGCAAGCCTCGCCCCTTTTCCTCCAAACATAACGATGGTCATTATGGCCAAACAGTTCTATTTTTGTTTCATCAGACCAGAGGACATTTCTCCAAAAAGTATGATCTTTGTCCCCATGTGCAGTTGCAAACCGTAGTCTGGCTTTTTTATGGCGGTTTTGGAGCAGTGGCTTCTTCCTTACTGAGTGGCCTTTCAGGTTATGTCGATATAGGACTCGTTTTACTGTGGATATAGATACTTTTGTACCTGTTTCCTCCAGCATCTTCACAAGGTCCTTTGCTGCTGTTCTGGGATTGATTTGCACTTTTCGCACCAAAGTACGTTCATCTCTAGGAGACAGAACGCGTCTACTTCCTGAGCGGTATGACTGCTGCGTGGTCCCATGGTGTTTATACTTGCGTACTATTGTTTGTACAGATGAACGTGGTACCTTCAGGCGTTTGGAAATTGCTCCCAAGGATGAACCAGACTTGTGGAGGTCTACAATTTTGTTTTCTGAGGTCAGAAGCTTCTAAAGCCATGACATCATTTTCTGGAATTTTCCAAGCTGTTTAAAGGCACAGTCAACTTAGTGTATGTAAACTTCTGACTCACTGGAATTGTGATACAGTGAATTATAAGTAAAATAATCTGTCTGTAAACAATTGTTGGAAAAATGACTTGTGTCATGCACAAAGTAGATGTCCTAACCGACTTGCCAAAACTATAGTTTGTTAACTAGAAATGTGTGGATTGGTTGAAAAACGAGTTTTAAGTGTAACTCCAACCTAAGTGTATGTAAACTTCCGACTTCAACTGTATGTATTGATACTGTATTCACCATTTGCTCAAAGAGTCTCTGCTCAAGCACACACTGTTTTTTGTGACCAGCACAGTCACACCTGGGATGTCTTCTTCTGTGCCTGTACAGCCAGCCTATCAAAGACAGTTTGTCGACTGGCGGAGTTGTACAGCTGCAGTGTTGCCTAGAGTTCATTGTATGCTTGTTACATATCAACAAGGTAGTGGAGGGCAATGTTACATATCAAAAACCCTCTCATATTTTATTTCTTTCTAAGAATACTTACCTGGGGCACTAGCCAATCAAATAATACTTACCTATGGCACTAGCCAATCAAATAATACTTATCTGTGGCACTATCCTATCAAATAATAGTTACCTGGGGCACTCTTCAATCAAAGAATACTTACCTGGGGCACTATTCAATCAAAGCAGGTTTCCTGAAAAAGTCAACCACATGATTGTTCTTGCATTGTAATAATGCACAATTAGATGAATGTACTCAACAACACGAATGGTTTCAATGTGAGATGAAAGAAACTAAAACTGTATATAAAGTAAAACATACTTTCTTGCTGCGCAGGATGAATCATGTTTTTGGATCCACACCGGGAACCCAGAAAATTGTTTTGATTTACTAGAGCCTTTGGTTGTGTTTGGGAGAAGATTACAATTCCCCCTCTCCCACAAATCGAGCCCTCAAGATCTCCCATCCCTTGTCAGACACTACTTGATAAATTGCTTTTGTGTGCTTTGCCTATGCATTGGGGATTCTTAATGGTCTCTATGCAAGTCTTTGTGTTTCTGCAATCTCCCTTCCACACGTGATTATTTTTCCATAGAAATAGAATGTACAGAGTGAGTCCCTCCTCTGTTCCATGTGGGATTGCTATTACTGGTCCTATTGGCTCTCTGTGATTTTGGCATTTTGTATAACCAATGTAACTAGGCCTATTTCACTGCCAAAGGTCTGATTGCCGAGGAGACGGGGGTGTTTTATGCATTCTAGTTCTTTACATTTGTCCTCTACCGGGGCTCCTCCCACCTTGGCACTCGTATTATTTTAGACTGGCAGGGTGACCTCTGACCTTCTCACTCTCCATTTACTGTGGATCGATTTGATATGCAGTACGTCTGGGGCTAAATTCAATAGGTTCTGCCTTAACCCGCGATAACCGACAACTGAATAGCAGTTTCACTGTTTTTATTCAGGTGATGTCGGAGGTGTAACTGCTTTGGCTCTGTCAAATCAGCAAACGGCTCCCGGCGTTATACCGATCCTGCACATTGCTATTGGATGCACCGCGTCGCAT